TCACAGAACATATAATGGTAGATGTCAAAAGTTATCATATTTAAGCTTGTGATAATTTATTATTACATAAAAATATCAAATATTATTTTTTTTACAATTAAAATATAGTTTTTAAATTACTATCTTTCAAATAAAAAGTTTTTTTCAATAATTAAATTATGTTTTTACTATTTTAATTAATTAAAATATTAAATTATTTAGGATTATTAATCAAGGGTATTTTTGTCAAAATATAATTTTTTCAATTCCATTCCATTATCAACCAAACAGCATAATCCTCATTCAGGTGTTGTTCCATAACTCCAATCAAACAATGGAATCAGTTTATGATTCCAGCGCATTCCAATTTCATCCCCATTACCATTCCCATTACCATTCCCATTACCATTCCGTCACTGTAACCAAACGCACCCTTAGGGCTTTCTTTTGGAGTTTAACTTGAGTATAATTCTTGAGTTGAATTTGAGTTATAACTTGTTGAACTTGTAACTTGAGTTTGTGTTTGGTTGTGTACATTTGAGTTATGATTTGAGATAAGAATCTTTTTGAGTTTGTGTTTGAGTGAGTCAAAACTTGAATTTGCATTTATATAGTATTTTAATAAAAATTCAATGCTGATGAAAAATTTTAATAGGGTATATGGGTCGGATTTTATTCGTCTTTTCGTTGTCAACGCATAGAAAAAAAATCATCTCAATCAGAATTAAAACGAAAAAGTTATAACATTTTTAAGAATAGAAAAAATACTGTTCATTAATTTGAGTTTAAGTTTCTGAACTCGAGTTGAAGGGGAAACTTGAACTTGAGTTTTAGTCCTAAACTCGAGTTTAAACTCGAGTTTAAACTTAAAAGAACATGAACTCAAATAAAGTTGTAACTTAAGTTGTCTTTTTTTGAGTTTTTTACTCAAAAGAACAAGCCCTTAATTTTTTATGTATATCTTTCTTCTTTTGTGTTCTGCCTATCTTATAAATTATAATAGAATGTAATTCACAATTTAAAAATAAGACTAAAAAAATATTATGAATATATACAATATACAGTAGTATTTGAGACTTTAACTTGGAAAATATCAATATACCAAAGGTAGAATACTTTGGGTCTAATTGAATTTTCATAAAAGATATCTATGTAATAATGTAATAAAAAAAGTTTGGCAGAAAATTAAAAGAAAAAATTGATAATTTCTTTACTGAAGGAGTGAGTGTATTTTCTTGATTTGAAACACTTCCTTTTTTTTTCAAAAAAAAAAAAAAAAAGGTTAAAGAGAAATCCTTATACGCCCGGGGAGTAGCACCGCCCCAGATATATCGGGCATCAGATTTGCGATTATATTTGAAGGTTATATTATAAATGAATAAATCAGTAATATTGATGGTCGTTCCATTTTTCGCTGGAATATTGAGAAATTCCTTGCAACAAAATTAAACCATTTTATCTTAATTAAGGAAGAAAAAGACTTTTTTCATTGACATAATCGGTTCAGAATACTTTTTGGATTGTATTGTCAACTGCGACATGCAAAAGTTAATTCGCTTTGTTAAGATTGAAGTTTTTTTAGTTTGAAAGCTTATACTTCATAGGATGAGATAGGACAACCAATTACTTGCTCAAAAAAAAAAAAAAAAAAACAGAGATGTACAAACCTGGCTAGGAATTCTTCTACCGTAGAAGACAGAGCTTTCAGGCATTGTGTCGTTGAAAGAAGGGTGAGAATGGACGTAAATGGAGTAGAATCCTTCATGGCCTTGAAAGAATTTCTCCCACAACGGAGCCAACGGCAGTGGACCTTTCGTCAAGAACATGAAAGCCACTTTTGGACGAACATGCTGATCCTGAACCCGAGGAACCATCGACGCTCTCCGTAACAACTCCTCATCGTTCATGTCATGCATAATTAGGACATTTTGCTCTTTCAACGAAACATTAGTATCGTTTGAATGCTTAGTACCATTCGTCCGTGCTAAGTCTGTCGACGACCATGACGATGACGACGACGACGACGACGACGACGTTTCGGGTTCTTGTGAAGGACTAAAAGAATAAAGAGAGTCTCGGGAAGAAATGAATGGGAAGCTCTGAAAGCATAAACTGGCTATGACACCAAGCGACAAACCAATAACAAATAAGAGGAGATACAAGAAATGATTTATTTGTAAATGGGAATAGAAAGACTTGGTAGCTGATTGCAAGGGGCGTTGTTCTAATTCCCCCTGCATTGTTAATTATTCTGCCAGCAAACGGAGAGAATAGAGAATAAAAAGAGATGTGTTTTGGGTAATTTCTAAGTTAATACCACTATAGTTTCATTAAGAATAATAATAATAAAATGAATAAATAACACTATAGAGTCTAGAGCCAGCTGGAATTTCATTAACTGTGTTAAGTATTTTTTAAGTTTGCCTTTTTTGGCTACTAGACTTTTCTTCTCACCTCGGATACATCATGCCGAACTGCAAGTTGCTACGTGGTATTGACCGACTAGCTAGCTTCAAGTTTATAACTGAATTCAGTATAGAATATCAAAATTAATAATAATAATAATAAAAACTGAAGCCAGTATAGCTAGGAAATTGGGAATATTCATATCGTAGTGGAAGAAAGGCATGTCCACAGTATGCATTCAATTTATTCCTATTGCGTCAACATGGGTTCAGAATCATGATTCATAATCATTCTTAATTTACGTGTGTTTTTTAAGAGAAAATACTGTAGCGAGCCACGAACCATGACACGAATCATTGCTTCAAACGCAATATTATAGGTAGTTTGGTATGAGAATTCGTGTCATTATTCGAATCATGGTACGTGACTCGCTACAGTATTTTCTCTCACAAAAAACACACGTAAACCGAGAATAATTTTGAATCATGATTCTGAATCCATGAATTAAACGTGGACCACGACGTTTGGTTGATGGATTCAGAATCATAATTCAGAACTATTCTCGATTTACGTATATTTTTTACGAGAGAAAACACTGTAACGAACCATGAAACATGATCCGAACCGATTTATATTACCTATCGTACTGAATACTACCTATCCAGAAGTTTCAACCACAAGGCACGGTTTATATATATATATATAGATTATAGACACACACATGATGGTGGTTGACCAACTATAAAAGTTTTTCCCTTTTTTTCTCTAAATTAAATGTGAGTGATGGATTTAAACTTTACATTTTATGATCGAATTATATGTAAAATTACCGTTAAAATTATATTCCTGCAACTGCAACTGTATATAGTTTTTATACTAACAAATGCTACCAAATCTTGATGTTAAAATTCATTTGAGTTAATTATAGAGAAAAAAAAACATTGGAGTTGGTCATACATATTTCCTTTGCGACGCCATATGGAGTTAATTTATAGGATAATCTCTCAAACGGCCCTCGAATTTTACATTTGGTATTTAAATTTTAAAACGTCTCAAACTAACCTCAAACTGCCCATTTGTCTAAGTTTGAGCCTTTTCATTAGTTGAATGCTATAAATGTAACAAAATATAAATAATGTTCTATTAGCATGATGTTATTATGTATCCTGTCAGTTTTAACTCGTTAAGATTATGTGCATATTTTGTATTATATCAGCATAGTGTCGTACCGTTATTTTTCATTAAGTATCGCGTGTATATTTTGTCCTCTTTTTGATACTTAATTGATAAAAAGAATTAAAACAAAACAAATTGATGAATTAAGGATTATAAGTAAAGTTTAGGACTCTGCGTAAGATTAACCTTTTCACCTAAAAAAACAAAAAAGTATAAGATAACCCTATCCCGTCCTGTCCCGCTCACTCCGTCCTGGATTCATGATGAATGTATTCCGGTTTTAGATATATTCATCGACGGCAGGCCGGCCGGTATGTTCGCATTGTATGTACGTTGGATGCACCATACTTAATTGTTATCGAGTGAATAATTAGCAGTTCATTTTATTATGTTTAAATTAATGAAACTAATAATAACTAGTAAAGGTTTGACCTTGATCAGGTTACCGTTCCTATAAAGATTTTTTTCTCTTTTGTTATCAATGCCAGCGAAATTACACACTTGTACAATGAGTTTGAAACATAATGCCCAAAACCACGGCTAAAATTAGGTCAGTACAATCGGCTACAAGTTAGGCAAGAAGCCACATTTATTTGAGTTTTAGGTAAGCAGCCCACATAATTTATACTCTTTCTGTAGCGTGGACTCCGCTTTTCTGTTCTTCTGTTATGGATTTTGTCCCTTATATATATATATATATACACACACACACACATACACACACACACACACAGAATTCTAGTTTTTCATTTTGAATATAGGTGGTTGCTTTAGATTGAGGCAACTATTTGGTAGTCAACTGCGCACTGCGGGAGACACCATTTAAAAATACATTTTTGAGAATTGCCTAATTAATCTTAGTAAACGGGTCTCGTTCATTTCGCTGATTCGAGTTTAGAATTCGAGTTGAGATGTGATTTTATGTGAGAGCTTTTTACTGTAGTAAAAAAGTTAGATGTGATTATTTGTGAGAGCTTTTTACTGTAGAAAAACTCGAATTCTAAACTCGAATCAGCGAAGTGAACGGAGCTTAAAAAATGGAGTTACGGGGGAAACATTTCTTGAAATATGTGATTGGCCTCTTTACATAAAATAGTTGAGTTTTATTGTACGGATTTTAATATTAAATTTAGTGTGGGGATTATTTATAATTTTAATTAATTAGGGCGCGAAAAAACCTTTATAAAAAGTACTTTATTATTACTTTTTTAAAGGTACGAACATATGAATGTGTGTATGGATGCTTATAAATTTTCAGGGAGACTAGGAGAGAGGGAGATTGAGAAGGTGGCACCTCTAATATGTTGATCAAAAATGTTTTTTTTTTTTTTTTGTTATTTTTCTTTCATGCATAACATAAAAATTCTTTGAAAACATTTCTGAAATGGTAATCTTGACAAATACCATTTAAAAGTGTACGAGTTATAATTTTTATCATTTGCTCTTGATTCATAACATTTTTAGTCAAATAATTAAACTAACAAAAGAATATTTATAAAAAATAAGAGATAAAAGTTTAAACTCATGCATTTTTAAGAATAAATTCTTTTTTTTTCTTTCTGAAATGGTACATAACCGTGGTCCATTTCTTCTAAACAAGCCTTGCGGGCATTTTCCTTGCATTTTATCGTCCTTTTCGATGCCAATGTCAACTCGAAGGAGTCATAAATGTCAAAGTTGTAAGAAAAGGGGAAGGGTGATGAGGATTGGCAAATACTTGAGCCTGGACAAACATACTTGATATGATCACCACTACAAAAATTATAGTTCCCTTATGATTTTCACCCATTGATTGTTGATGAAACTTCAAGGCAAAGGATCTCATTATTTATATGAATGATTTGCTTAGCAATAATCATTTGAAAACTTCTAATATCTGGAGGTACACAAGGCAGCATTTGCCAACCTAATAGATAATTTGTGATTATCTGCACCTCGTTCATTTCACTTATTTGAATTTTCAGTTATAGATTTTTACAGTAAAAAACTTTTAAAAAATGTCACATCTAACTTTTTTTGCTACAGTAAAAAGTTCTCAGAAAATGTCACATCTCAGCTCGAATTAAAAATTCGAATCCGCGAAATGAACAAATACTCAAGTGTTTTAAGTTTATAAAAAATATATATATCATATATTTTGTTATTTTCAAAATTGAAGCTCTGAATTTTAAATTCATATCAAATTTATACCTTTTTTTTGGGTCAACAACTAATTTTGATCCTCAAATTGACGATTTTATCACTGTAGCTTATTCTATAGTATTAGTCCATTCGATTAAAACCAAACTAGACCGACACCTTAAATAAAAATTAGTAGAATTTGCGGCAGTGGAGACAAACTGTAAGCTTGAGCATACAAATTAAGTGCCTCTTAATATTTATGTAATATTTGTTACGGTTCTAAACTACGGGTGTTAAAAATTCAAAAGGCAAACATATAAGAGTTCTCCCTCTACCATAGTGTTTGTTTGAGACCGTTTAATTTACTGATTTGAATTTTTGAGTTGAGATGTGATTTTATGTGAGTTTTTTACTGTAATAAAAAAGTTAAATATGACTGTTTTTTTTTTTTAGCTTTTTACTGTAACAAAACTCAAATTTTAAACTTAAATCGGTGAAATAAACGGGACCGAATTTCCTTTCACATTCCAATCGTCATCATCCTTGAATGCGTTTGTTGTGATTAATGGGCTTTAATATTTTGTACTTCAAAAAGTTGACAGATAATCACTGACATTTTGTTAGAGGCCGAATTAAGCAAGTTACGTAGTTAACTGCTAAAATTGTTTTTTAAAGGGTAATCTTGTATTTTTCACATTCCAATCCTAAGGTTGTGTTGAATGGAAAGAAAAGGTACGAAGCTTTGGGCCCGTTTGTTTGCGTTTTCGTTTTCGTTTTTCACGGTTTTCAAAGCAAAAAAATGAAAACGGGTGTTAAAAACGTGTTTGGTGCAATTTTTTTTAAAAAACAAAACCAAAAACGTTTTTGTCTTTTTGTGGAAATCAGAAAACGAAAAAAATGTGTTTTCATTTTCTTGTTTTCGTTTTCTGTTTTCTGAAAAACGGATTTCACTTTTTTTTTTCTTTTTCATTTTCTTCCCTCTTTTCTGAAACCGTTTTTGTATTATTTATGTTTATTTAATATATTTATTTAATATATTATTATTTAATATATTTAATAATATTATTTATATAATATATTTAATAATATTATTTATTTAATATATTATTATTTAATATATTTAATAATATTATTTAATATATTTAATAATGTTATTTATTTAATATATTATTATTTAATATATTTAATAATATTATTTATATAATATATTTAATAATATTATTTATTTAATATATTATTATTTAATATATTTAATAATATTATTTAATATATTAAATAATGTTATTTATTTAATATATTAAATAATGTTATTTATTTAATATATTTAATAATGTTATTTATTTAATATATTATTAATATTATTTATTTAATATATTTAATAATATTATTTATTTAATATATTATTACATGTTTTCAAAAATTAAACCACCAAACGCAGTTTCAGTTTTTTTTTAAACTGAAATCAATCTCTAAATAAAACTACCAAACGCATTTTTAGAAATAATTCAAAAATGAAACTAAAAACGTTTTCATTTTCATTTTTGTACAGAAAATAAAAACGTTTTGGAACCAATTCCAAACGCACCCTTTAATCCTTTGTTTAGTTCGTTTCTGAAAAAGGATTAGTTTATGAGTAGGAAATGAAAAGAGATGATTCATACCCTTTCTTATTTAATTACATCTTTACTTGAAAATTAGTAGTGTGAGTTTATTGGGTCCCACACTATATAGAAAAATGGTAAAAATAATGTTAGTCCTCGTACCCGTAATAGGTTCAATATTATAGATCGATTAAGACTCCCTCCCTGGTCGACGATATCAAAGATCATTTAATTATGCAAAAGGGTAAATTGCATTGGTGGTCCTAAACTATTTAAAAGATGACATTTTAGTTTTTTAATTTTTTTTTAACGAAATGAACCTCAAACTCTTTAAAAGGGTGTAATGTAGTCTGTTCCGTCTATTGTCATTTAAAATCTAACGGTATTGTACACGTGATCGATCACGTGACCATCTTTTGGCTAGAAAGACAAAAATGCCCTTGTAGTTGTTATAATATTCAAACAAGTCTGTTTCCGCCCCAATTTTTGAGAATTGGTTTTTCCTTTGGATCTGATAATGACAGCGAGAAAGGGAGACTCCGATCTTGCGATGGTAAAGAAAGGGGGCTCTGATTTCACAACGACAGGGAAAGTAGGGTCTCGATCTTGCAATGGAAAGGGACGGTGGGTGGGTCCGATCTTGAGATGCAAGGGGATTACATAGTTTGTACTGTGCGCGGGAGGTGGTTGGCGAAAGGTTTTGGAGGTGGTCGGCGAAGGGTTTCGGAGGTGGTGGGGAGTTTTGAGACTATGTTGGGTTTCTATGATTTTCTTTGTATTTTGATTAGATGAATGCTCTGGGTAGCTAATTTGGACATGTGTTGACCTATGTTTCCATTTTCTTTGAGAACATCATAGACGTGGGTCTATTGTATATTTGCTACAAGAAATGGATTTGATTGCTATCACGTATTTCAATGGTTCTGAAGTATATGAAAACTGGGTTTATGGGTTGTGGTTTGAAATTAGTTACATTTAATAGTTTTTTCAGATAAATTTAGATAATCGAAATTCAATTTAACTGTATCTATTTTTAATTTATGTTCAAAGAACAATAAATCTTGAAGTTGATTTTTTTTTTTTTATCTATGTTGTATTTTGAATGAAAGATGGCTTTGTTGTTAAAACACCCATACCCAAAAATATTTTGGTTTAGTTCAAGAAATAAAGCGTTAAAATCATCTCAGGAGCTTTTTTTTCCTTCACGAATTAAGACCAGTTGTAGAGAAATAGGTCATAAACTTCAAAATACGGAGAGAGAAGAGGAAGATCAACGGACTCGATCGCCACCCGTCGAGTTGAGGCACCTCAATCCACGATGAGACCAAAAGAAAGCAGATATGAGCGTGATTTTTGACTTACTCGGTAGAGAGAGATGAGAGAGAGATAAAATGTGTCCCAAAATGTGATTTTACACATATACGTGCGCTGTGCCGTTATATTTTGAACGACAATAGACGGAAAGAACTATATTACAATTTTTTAAAGAGTTTGAAATTTGTTTCTTTAAAAAAATTGAGAACCAAAAATTGTCACATTTTAAAAAATTTAAGGACCTCCCGTACAATTACTCTATGCAAAAAGATATTATAATAATTATATTGATAAGTTTTAAAAGACCTATAAACACTAAAAATAATGTCTAATATGTCATTTTTAATTATTTGTAATTTGGTTGATGTGAATTTACTTTTTATAAATATATTTGTTTTAAAAAAGGATGTTTAGTTATAGGGATGATGTTTTCTTTTAAACGTTTAATAAAAAAAATCCAGATCAAACAAATCAAGAATAATTAAAAAGCGCAAATTCAATATTTCACTCATGTATTTTTTAAACGTTGAAGTATTAATTTAAAATTATAAAAAATACGGCGTATTAAATGCTGATTTTGTAAAATAAGGTACTAATTAAAATTATTTCAAAAATTATAATAATAAATAGATTGAAAAGCAAAATTCAATCCACGCCAAATTTTGCTTTCCTAAATTACCCATTTCCCTCTTTTCTTCCGCAAAAGAAAAATAATGCCCCTCTCTTCATCTTTTAAACAGTAAGCACAGTGCGCCTCGTTCCTCAGATCCATCCTCGACGTCGAAACTCCACCGCCCACGTCGCTGGCTGCGAGCACCGTCGCACTGTCCCTCGCGTCCCGCTGCCGCACCCCCACGGCAAAGCCCCACCAGGCGACGCATGGTCTTCCCCACTCCCTCTGAAGAAAGAGAGGAAAACATGGAGAATAAGGAAGAGGAGGAGGAAGAAGAAGACGACCGGAGAGAAGCGGCGATTGCTTTAAAAACCTCTTTACGACCTGATTTCAAGCCCAAATCTAATGCCATCTCCCAAGCTCAGTTCTCAAAGTTCCAAGTACTCTTATCACCATTTCTCTCTCGCGCATAATCTCTTTACTCGCTATTTATTTTCCCTCGTTTTTTTTTGTTACTAGAAAAGCCTCGCAGTTTTCAGTTTTTTTGATTGGTTCTTTTGATTTAGGATAGAACCTTTTGTTTTTTGATTTAGGATAGAACTTTTTGTTTTGTTATTTGGCATAAACGTTGGAGAAACTTATATTGTAATTGGCTAGAACTATTAATTAGGTTTCTGAATGAAAATTTGGATAATGGAGCTATTATGATGTGATTGGATTTTAATACTTCACCTAATTGAGTAGAGATGAACTCGGGTTTTTTTTTTTCTTGGATTAGCTAAATTTTGTTTTATGAGAAGAACATAGGAAAATAACTTAATATGTATTTCAAAAATACAACATCTTGTTACTAATTACTAAAGAAAGTTATTGTTGAGCGAATCAGGAGATCTAAGCTATACATTTTACAAATTTGTAAACAATAAAGGCAACCTAGTTGTTTAGTAACATGTTGTGATTTTTGTGTTCATATGCTGTATAAGTTAACTAGAAGCTCTTTTTAACGAGTATTCTCTGTGGCAGATTGTCTGGTCCCTTTTACTAATTTTTTATCTAAACATGTTCAATTACAAAATATAAAAGATGAATGGAAAGATTGCTTTGTCAATAAAGATGCCGGAGGTAGTAAATTACTGGAACGACTGGCTTAAAGTGCGGGAACAATAATCAGGTCACTCTAAAGAAAGACAATTTCTCTTTAACAAGAACACAATAGAGATTTTTTTTTTTTTTTTGTCTGGCCTCTTTCAAGAGCTTGCGAAAATGGACATTTTTAGATTTGATTCTTGGATGTGGCGACTTTGGCATTTCTCGTGGCTTTGTTAGTTCCTTCAATCAATGCTCAAAGTTCTGCTGCTGAACCAGCTCCTGCCCCAACAAGTGATGGGGTAGCAGTAGATCAAGGAATCGTCTACGTGCTAATGCTTGTGGCTCTGGTGGTGACCGACATCAAAAGAGAGGAAAGATTTATCTATTTTAATGTATAATAATACGTTCATTTTTCTCCAAAAAAAAAAAAAGTGCAGAAAGAATAATCCAATCCGTCTCAGCCTTTCTACTTGGAGCTATAAGTTTCTGGTGGGAATGTTTTAAGAATCTTGAACTGTGTACCTTTGAATGCGCTATCTGGATAAGATGTTGGGATTGTTTTGTGTCATTTCTTGTTTTATTCTCTTTTCCATCCGGTGATCACTTTTAATTTATTTGGATTTCTAATGTGATAGGAGCTGAACAGGAGGCGTTTAGAAATAAAGTCAAAATCAAATTTCAAAAAGAAACAAAAAGGTTGTTTCACTGGCTATGTTTGTCGATATTTTTGCTTTCCCTATATATATCTACACGTGTTTGCTATGAGCTTGTCATCAAAATTGCAGGTGATCTGACCAAATCACAACGCAAAAATCCGAATACCAATGATGTTGAGCATAAAGATACAAGTTCTCAGAGTTCTGACAAGCACAATAATAAAGACAGCTCCCTATTACAGCAAGAGAGCATTACAACTTATTCTGCACCAATGCCACGCCAGAAGTTACATTGGGGGTATGATATATGTTCTTAATTCTTATTAACTGGTACTTGATATATACATGAAATTAGCTCGTCTCCAATAAATAGCAGTATCTCATCAGCTGAAGCTAAAGATCATGAAATTTTGTGGAGGAGAGCTGTTGGGTTTCTCAGATAGAGTTCCGTTCTCACTCATGGTGTGTCTCCCAGGCTGTAGGACACAAACACCATGTGCATATGTGGGCAACTCAATGTTTCAGTAATACGAATTACTGGAATTTACTGGAATTCGCCATCGTATTACAAGAATTGCTATGATCGGCTTAACCTTGAAAAACAAATATCCAATTTCCCTAAATAAACAGAGTTAGAATAGAGATCATGTGTTTTAAGGGGTGTAATGTGTAAAATTTGATACAAAGAAGAAATCTAAAAATACAATGAAACTTCATGGTTATCGCAGCCTGACATGATGAGTTTCTTCTGCATTATATGGTTTGACTTGATGTTTATGCTTCTAGTCCTTAAATCTGTTTTGCTAATGTTGCCAGGCTCGACACAAAGGAAAGGTGGGAAAGAAAAGCAAACATGTAAATATCACATGGCGGTGGAATTCTGTCTGGTCAAGTTGTTGCAAATGAATCTCTAAGGTGGTCTCTTGAGCTCGGTATACACGGTGTTTTTATTTTGTTTTCCTTTAGGGACGCGTTACATACTTCTTGAGAAATATATTCATTTCCAGTCATGTACGAGGAACCATTGTACATTTGAATAGTGCGTGGTATTATACAAAACTGTTGGGAGTTTCTCTAGTAAGCAAGTCCTACCGATAGTGCCAATTTCTGACTATTATTAGATTAGGTCACAATCATATTAGATTAAAATAGTATGCAAAAGTGACCGTTTCTGATACAAGATTTGACGGCTGAAAATATAAAACTATCACTAGTTCATTTTTTATGATCCTACCAGATAAGCTCCTAAAACATTTTATGGCTCCACGACTGTTTTTTATTACTTCTATATGTAAATTCCACCGTCTTGTATGGCAACACTCCAACTAGTTGTTTCAGTTTCATTTGACAGTATTCATGATGGCTCTTAAAAATATTGTTCATGATGTAGCACCGACATTTTAAAATCGTCATGGATGCTAATGAATTCTCTGTGTCACTCGTAGATTAGTTATAACATTGTTGTGTACCCCCATTTCATCTCGGTGTCGGTTAGCTTAGACTATTTGTTTTTCGTTTAAAAAACCACAAATTTTGGGCTGATACCGTCTTGAGCTGCCAAGTCTGACATTCTGCTCAAGATTTTCTACCTGAACATGTCAAATATAACCCGACTACAATCAATAATTCAAGAAATAACACTTAAACAAGTACATATCAAGCATAATCGCCTATACAGACACTTGCACTAGAACACGTGAAGTCAAGATCCTCTATTGGAACAAGAGACGTGCAAAAAAAAAATAAAAATAAAAAAGCCAGTCCTCTATAGGTTCCCAGAAAAACTTGTGAAAATATTCATCCGTGGCTCAGGAGGAAAAAAAAAAAGAAAACAAAATTCCTTACGCGTAAGTTATCATTTTGTTGTGCCCTGATATATCCAAATCAAGTTGCAGGGTTAAGAGCGCGCTCTATTTCTTCCAACGATCTTCCTTTTGTTTCCACAACATTGCCGGCTATGTACAAGACGGCGAGAAGACAGACGGCTGAGAAGCCCAAATACACGGTGCTTATGCCAAACTTGTTCACAACACTCAAGAAATAGAGGCCGATGACAAAGTTTGATATCTGATGAAGAAGAAAAAAAAGTATGAATCTTCCGAATATAGGAAAAGAGATAATTAAAAGAAAATGGAAGATATATGCATATAAAACCATCAAACTCCCAAGAACACATCAATAATATAAGACAATCTACTTGTCTTCACTTATCTTTGACACAAGCAAGAAACAAAAGGCTAGCTAGAGGATTACAATGAGTTTACGCGTACTTGTGTGTGCCAGTCTGTGTATATTAGAGACCTACATAGCATCTGTCGATGGGCGAATTAGAGAAATACCGCTTTTACAAAGTCAGTATTTGAATATACCACTTTTGTAAAAGAATATTTGAGCCTAATTTATGTATAATATTGGTCCTAGTGAATCACTAGACTTCAAAGGTGGTATGCAACCTAATCTACACGTCCTTTTCAAACCAAATGCTTGATGGTTCTCATTTCAGGCGATATCATTTGATTCTAAGTCGATTATTTGAATTTCATTTTTGCTTTTACCATCTAAAGAAAGCATTCCAGATTAGAAATTAAACAAAAACTGTAGTGCATGGAAGAAGGTCGATTCTATAGGCAAGACAATTGACATTATCAATGACAACCTGAAAAATACAAGAAGTTGCATATATTTGTTTGTTTAGCCTTTCTTTATGGTCGCTTACCCAATGCATGCCTAATGATAAAGCAACTCCTTTCGCCCTGATTCTCGAAGCAAATATCTCAGGTAGAAGTAGAGCAGGCACAGGACCAGCACCAAGTGAAAATGACAAGACATAACTGTCAATTGAGCAGAAGCGAAGTTAGAGTTTTATGCTGACATAGTCAAGAGCTAAAGAAAAAGGATTTTCCACTACCCGCACGCAAAAAAAAAAAAAAAAAAAGTTACAACTTACAGGACAGTCCCAAGAACGGCAAGAGTGCCGGAATACGGTGCTAGAACCGTCCATGTAAAGGACAGAGAGAGCAGCATCATCGAAGCAGCCTTAACAAGCCACCAAGAGAATTGTCAATCATATCATAACGACATAAATTAGGAAAATGTCGTATTGAAATTGAAACAAAAACAGGAATGAATCCCGACAAGAAGATAATTCACATCCAGGCAACTAGGTTGAAAGTGCAACACAAGAGAATTTATCCAGAGAGGAATTAAATAATGTAGTACTTTGGACTGGAGAAAAAGGCAGATCCCAAGATCATAATATTATTTGCGCAAGAAAATAGAAAGTTTATAAATTCTATTTACTATTAGATGAAAAGGTTCAATTTTGTGGCCAGTGCAGAAGGAATTTGTCAAGGTTACAATATAAGATGTTGATTATACTGTAATACATGCGAACAACACGTCAACATGCATATGCACACACACAACGAGACCAAAAATGATAAGATCAAAGATTTTAACGGTACCATTCCAGCAAAGCTTGTAATGAGAAGACTCTTTCTTCCTTGTCTGTCCATCAAGGAAGATGCAACAGCAGTGCCTGCAAGGGAATCAGTTGCAAGGCTTGTAAGGCATAACAGGCACAAATACAATATGGCACCTAAAGTTTTCTAATTCCAAAGGAAAAATAAGCAAGACTAACCAAAAACATTTGCCGCCCCAACTAGAGCACTTGCTGCAACATCGGAGGCAATCCCAGCACTACGGAAGACGGAAGTAGAATAATACACCACAGCGTTGATCCCAGCCAACTGTTGGAACAAGAAAAGTGCTGCACCAACGCTAACAACTGCAAGAAGGTGTACATGTCATTGAGAAACGAGAACACTCAGCTGTTAAATGATGTGTGCCTTATTGACTGTTGGGATTACTTAGTTTCGGTCATATAATTTCAGTCATAGAGTTGAAAATTGACAAATCTGACTAGAATCTAAACTATCATTCATTCCATTGCAATACTGAACGCAAAATCTATTTCAGGAATCTGTGGATCTACCTTTCCAATAACGGCTACTGAACAAATCAAACCAGCCCGCTTCAGATTCAGTAGAACTTTGGCCTGCTGCTGTTAAATCATTCATTACCTCAGCAACTCTCTCCTTTCCGTACAGTGTTTTAATAGATTTTTCAGCTTGAGAAATCTTCCCTTGCTACCCAAAAAAGGGGGACAAAAACGAAGTTTTGTGCAGAAATTAACTAATGAGCTAATAATACAAATGCTCTTTTTTTTTTAATTATTATTATTTGACATCTAACTAAATAGTCTTAAGACAAAAACCTGAACAAGCCATCGAGGACTTTCTGGCGAGACGGCCATTCCTAATGCCAATAGAACAGAGGGTACAATTGCAATCCCAAACATTGTCCTCCACCTGGTGAACAAAGAGCCAGATCAAAAGTATAAGCGAGAGAGGAAATGAGCAGATATTCACAAACATAGAAAACTAAGAGAACTACTGTGGTAGTAGCAGAGTAATTCTCAGCCTTAACAACAATTTGCTGGTTTTCAATTATCATAAATATTACTTTAAACGGGTTAATTTTACCAATGTATTTTCCTCAGTGCACTATATTCATTTGAGAATCACGAAATAGATCAACTTGCCTAAACAGCTATAGCATGGTACTCAGATTTCAGAACACGACAAACTATGATTCATTTGGAGCCACTAGCAATTAATAACCACCCACAAAACTAAGAACGAACATCTTAAATATAGCATTCGAAAGTTATAGTCCCATTAGCTATTTTTAAAAATTGCTTAAATGAAAAAGCACCTTCAGAGAAACATTACACACATTGGTAACTCCAGTCTCATTATTCTTCTAATTTGTTTCAAAGAATGCACCACATCACAAATGGTGGCGTAATTAAACATCTTTACAATACAAGAAAAACAAGTTTAAAGAGCTAAACATTAGTCTAGTCATAAAAAAAGCATAAGATAATGTGACACTAAAAATGAACATTTACCATTAAACGTCATAATGGCAACACCTGGTAAGTTAAGAAAGATTAATGATTAATCTACTTTTATTTTAAAAATTTGCAAGTGTCTTTACTGAATTGAACTTTACAATCTAATATTCAGTATCAATCTAAACTTATAACATTATTTCTAATACTCCACTCACAATAGAAGCTGATAGTCCTAGCCCTTGATTTCAATTGTTCTGCAATTGTTGCTCAAATTGACTAGCAGCAATTTCTACTATTTCTTTATCATTGAACCAAAAAGGGTAAATGCATGCATTAAACCACTTCTCACTACTGTTTTCACATTGTTGAAGACTGATATATTTCATATGAAACCAGATACGCTCTGGTCCTCTGGGTTTACAATACTTGAACATGATGGGAACATCTTTCACTGCCATAATTAGATCTCTCTCAGTTAACTGTCAAAAACAGATCAATTCTACACAACTAATGCCATTTAGTGTGAATGAGTGTAAGCTGATTAAATATTTACATTCTAAAAAGTTGAAAATCACACTATTCTGCATTCATAAAATGAAACAAAAGACAAGTAGAAATTTGAGCGACACCATGGAAATATTTAATTTGGATACCATTGGATTTCTTTAGCAGATAATGAATTCCCATTTGTTGCGCTATAGCAGATTGTGAGATGAATTAAATGATTTACAAGGAGGGTTACTGCAAGGGAAAAAAAAAGAATACCATAACGGGTTGCCTGCTAAAGGTAATCCAGCTATCAGAGCTGCAAGAATGCCGATACATATAAAAAGTTGGTTCACTGATCCAAGTGCTCCACGAATTTCAGTTGGTGATATCTGATCATTAGAAAAGAGTATCAAGAGGTTACAAATTCTAATATTTCAAAGTAAACAGAAGAGAATGAAGAAAAAGGATTTTTGGAAACAGAGAACAATTACTACCTCCGATATATAAAGTGGCACAATAGCAGATGAAATGCCAATGCCAATGCCAGCAAGCAAGCGACCAATTATCATTGTCTGCACATTCTGGGCTGTGGCACTGGAGGTAATAAAGACAACCTTTTAAGTAGGAGTTTCGAAACATATCACTCTTCACAACCTAAACTTCATGATATAATACATACCAAAGAAATGCTCCAATTGCTAACGGAATCGCATCTAACTGAAAAGTTCTAGTCCTGCCAAACTTGTCAGCTAGTGCTCCACCAGTAAATGATCCAACTGTGGCACCAGCAAGAAGTGTGCTGACTACCCACCCTATACAAAAGTAGCATGGTGGATTTAGCTAGAAAATCCTGAGGAACAACGAACCACATAATCTAAACAGTCTTGAAGTTAGAGCTAATATCATGTGAGTCTCCGTTGACAATTTTATTGCCGCTTTCAAATAACCAAAAAGACAGCATTTCTTTTTATATTAAGGACTTGTGGATAGACAAAGTTTGTAGTAATTGATAACAAACATCAAGATGCATAATCCGTAAGGTGAAATTGATAACAAACATAAAGATGCATAAATACGTAAGATGAAAAAAAAAAAAGAAGAAAAGGAAGAAATTATACGTCATGATTTCAAGTTTGTCTTTATTATTTATAATACTTGCCTTGCAATACAGTATTTTGTGCAATCCCAAGATCCTTGGCTAGGTATTCAAGAGCACCATTTACCACTCTGCAACGAAAAATGAATGACATCATGGTAAGCCTCATGCAAGGTCAGTTATAACTTGAAATCTTGTCTTACAAAAAAAAAAAAAAAAAAAAAAAAAAAAAAAAAAAAAAAAAAAGGATAGATAGTGTCAACACTCAGGATGAGTATGATTCTGCAATATGAATATTCATTGGGCACATATCGGATAAAGGTCCACGAACGAAGATCAAATTGACCACGTCAAGTAGTAACAAAACACGCCACTGTAGAGGCCAATGAAGCATTACCCCAGATGGTAGCCAAACAAAATGGCTCCAAGACAAGCAACACCAACGAACGGTAAAACTGTTCCAGAAGACTTTCCGTGCTGCTTGGAGGGAACCATTCCCTCAAGATCTTCATCTGCGTCAAGGTTTGAAGATCTTGCGTCAAGGTTTTGCGTGCTAAGGGTAAGAAAGCAAATAATTTGAAGATCCAACTGGCAATAAGAGGTATTAAAAAAATTTCGAAAATGGGTCCATACAATTAATGCATCTCACAGAATGAGAGAGAGGTGCATTCGTTATGACACAAATACTCAACATATGGATAATTATTAGCATTTTTTAAGCTGCCAGAAAATGATTGACCTGTAACAGTTTCGAGATCAAAAAGATCTTCCAAACTCACACACATGTATAATTAAAAGAATGCAATGTTCTCAGGAAAAGAAGAACTAGAAAGGTAATAATCAACATAGTAGCAGCTAATGTTCTGAAAAAAGGCTAGTAAAACGACTTCCATTAACATAATTTGATCACAAACGCATGCAAATGATCAAAACCAAAACAAATCAAAGACGGGAAAGGAAGTAAGATCAAACATGAAGCCTGAGCCTTGAGTGATCTGGGTTTCGCCGACGACCCGAAAATGCCATTAACACCCAATCGAGTCCTTCCAAGCTCGACTCCCATTGAAGCCATGGAATTTAGGCTCAGCCCACCACAACAAGCAGTTCCGCCAGTCATGCTGAGACTTCTTCTGCTAGTAGATTCACCCAAATTAAGCAATACCCTTCTCTGGTTTTGTACCACAAAGCCTATTTTCCCTCCTTTGACCGAAGGATATGCTGACGCTTGCATTTTATCTGATGAAGAAAAACCCAAATTCCCATTAATGTCACCAAAGTCAAATATACTAAATTAATAGAGATTCCACTAAAGTGGAAGTCATCACAAGGAAAAAGGAATTCCCAATTACGAAAACTGAAAAGTTTGTGCAAATATTATTAAACTATATGAAGTGGCATAATTGGCTTCGCAGAAAAATCAAGATCAAACTGAAATCTTTCAACCTGCAATTGTCTTTGCAAGAGTGGCACTACTTTAATCTTAAAGAATGGTGTAAAGAATGAAACTGGGGAGGAAAATAAAAATACCCGAAATAAAAGGAATCACTATCGGAAACAAAACCCAGAAGCAGAAAGTAACGGTTTTTTCTTTTTCTCGGCCTGTTTTTAAATGGGATTTTTTTAGTAAGGGAGAGAGTTGGAAAGTCCGCTGAAAGGAGTTGAGGAAAAGGACAGACTGTTAGCTTACTAAGCACTCGTTGCCGCTACAATAAAGAAAGATTCTGAATTATAGGATTTGTTTGGAATTTGTTTTTAAAAAAAAAAAAAAAAAAATTTTGGGTATAAAAATAGGAATGAAAACGTTTTTTATTTTATATAAAAATTATTTTTAAAAAAATGTTTAGTAATTTTATTAAGAGATTATTTTTAGTATAAAAAATTTATTAATGTCTATTTTTTTTTTGCTCGAGAGAAGAGAAAATAAAAATAAAAAATGAAAAATGATTAAAAGTCGTTTTTTATTTCTCTCACATAACTAAAAAATCGTTTTAATTTTCATTTTTTGTCTTTAATTGTGTCAAACGTCGTTTAGAATCGTTTTTATTTTTTCTTTCTCAAAAAATGTAAAAAATAAAAACAAGAACAATTTCAAATACGGTAATGAGTTTTTTTTTTCTTTATTGCTTTTCTTTGAATGTCAGTATTAAATTGCTATTTGTATTTTTGAATTTGAATACGTATATTTCGGTTCCGTTTATTTCACCGATTCGAGTTTTATTACAGTAAAAAAATTTTAAAAATAGTCATATTTAATTTTTTTATTATAGTAAAAAATTTATATAAAATCACATCTCAATTTAAATTAAAAACTCAAATTAATAAACTAGACGATTTTTATGAGTAATGAATATTTATCTCAAGTTTTTGATAAAAACTGAAACAGTTAGGGCAAAACAGAGAAAAACAAAAACAAAAAAGGAAACGTAATGATATTGGTTTAAGAGAAATTTAAATTGGTAATACATGTGGATATATATGAAAGATTACGTGGGATTTTGGATTAGATTTTGGGGTAAGCGTTGTACATGTCGGGAGAGGTGCACGTGGGACAGATGATGGAGGGTTTGCTGATTTTAGATTTTTTTTTTCTTTTTGGTAATGATTTGAGATCCACTTGCGTGGTCTTCCTTTGGCTGCAGCCTGCAATATGCCGTACAACCAATCAATGCACATGAGTTCTCCGGTTCTCACTCTTTCTGATTACAGCATTTTGTGTCAATTGGGAAAGCCGTTTTATAGACGGCCCAACTTAACCCGCTACAGTGATTAATTTAGTACGGTTTAGTTTTGTACTGTTATGAGTTGAGTCGGTCAGTACGTTAGAAGGGTTTAGGTTAGGCTTCATGTTTGAGGCCCGTAGTTCAAGCACCGTCTAGACCCGTTAAGGCTCAAGCACGCGAAGGGTCAGACATAGCCCATAAAAGCCCATGCCCGCGACATGAAATTTGAATGATGTTTAAGGCATTTTAAGGCTAACTAGCCGACCTATGTCATCTAATCAACTAATTATTTTCTTGTAATTATTTATATTATTTCAATAAAATCACATTTTTTTAGAGCATATGATATATTACTTTTTTTTGTCATCAAATTTGAAATTATAAAAATAATCTTAAAAAAAATTGTTAATCATAAGTGAAACTCAAGTGCATTAAGAAAATTAGATTAAGAAAAGCACTTCGATTTTGTAATTTATTTATTCTAGAATACTGCACTCTTTTTCCTTCACTAAGGTTTTGTCTCAATCTCCCCACGAATTTACTTGGCAAGATTTTTAACGAGGAAGTCATTTATGTGTACTTATTCATATTATCTCAACTCAATAAAATTACATCTTTTGGGGGCATATAATATATTTTCTTTTTTAAAAAAATTAAATATTGTAAAAAAAAGTTAAAAGGGTCAGGGCCGGCTAATGAAGGGCCTGGGCCCTGACCTTTATGGACTAGGGTCGAGGGCTAGTATTGGGCTTGAGGGTTTCTTCTTAGACCCGACCCTGGCACGACTCTGCACTGTGCATGGCCATGCCAGGCACAACACAGGCCCACCACGGGCCTGTGGGTTCAAAAAGTCGTGCCAGCCCAACACGGCCCTTTTGACATCTCTAATTACAGCATGGGCCTAGATCTTTTAATAAAAAGCCTAACATGATTTGGTCCATCTAATGTTGGTTAGGTTTTTTATTTTATTTTGCACAATTTTCAAAAATACTCTTAAAATGGAGTACTTTTTTATTTCTACCGTTTAACATTAGTCTATATTTCTATTTTTCATACTAAAATTAATTAATAAATATAATTTTTTAAAATAAATATTTTTAATAAATTAGATACTTTTGCATTTTCATTTATTATTAATGCAAGCCAATCCAACTCGTATAAAAAAGCACGTTGGATCGGGCCACTCCATTTGCACCTTTCGACTGTCTGGGCCAGACGACCCGAATTGATAGTAGTATAACTTGGTGTGTGCGCAGCAGGACGTGTTTATATTAGCAATCTATATATGTTTTTAATTAGCTTAAAAACAAACAATGAAAACATTTTCAGACATAAATGATTTTTAAAAATACATTTAGTAGTTTTATTAAGAAATTATTTTTAGTCTAAAAAAATTTATTACTGTCAATCTCTTTCTCTGCTCGAGAGAGGAGAAAATGAAAATAAAAAATAAAAAATAACTAAAAATTATTTTTCATATCTCTCTTATTTTATACTAAATTTAAAAATTATTTTTATTTTTATTTTTTATTTTTAATTATATCAAATGTTGTTTTAAAAAAAATTTTATTTTTTTTCTCGAAAAACAACACGGCAATTGAGTCGACGATTCCAAACGTAAACTTGTTTGGCAGGCCACGATTTAACAAGACCGGACGTAAAATTGATTCGCAAGATGAGACACATTGTAGTTTGGCAGGTGTTAGATACATACATATATACATATATATATATATATATATATTACACAAAACAAACTTTTTATGTTTTATGTGCAACCCTCTCTCCCCAAAATTGCAAAAATTAAGAAATAGATGGCCCATAAAATTTTAAATTCTTTTCCTCTCTATTAAAAATATAATATTTTAGAAATAAACAACACATTTATGTTTTGACTATGAAAAAAAACCTAATACCTTCACATCCTGGGATTTCTAGTTTTTTTTCCATATTTTTCTCCTTTTTTTTCTTTTTTTTTTTTGCTTTAAAGCCTTTAGGTATTTTTTGGGTCAAAATCGAAATTGACAGAGAAAAAGAAAATTTTTTTGCATAAATAAAAAATACAGGGTATAAAAATGGAAAAAAGACCTTTTTTTTTATCTTTTTCATAATAATGGCGGGGTTAAAATTGTATATTTTAGAAACAACACGATAAGTAGACCTTTGAAAGACACTGAGATCAGAGTTAGGCGAGTGAATATCGTCGACAGTCAAATGGTGAAAATAAACTTAAAAATAAGTCAAACACAAATTTTAGGTCTACAATCAGTGAAGCTAAGATGGTGGGATCATGAGAACATAATATAATGATGCTGATTCAATATCTCTTTATTTTCAACCTTGTTTAGCATATTCACTGCTCATTTCTGTTGGATTCCCTGATTGTTGTTGCTTTCCATTCTTTTGCCAGCACTTTCATCGAATCAGAAACTTCGGCCCTGTATACGTAAATCTTGGAAAGAAACAAGAAGAAAAAGAAGTTCAAAAGGCACAACAAGGCCAAAAATCCGTAATAATAGTCTAAATGAGAGGCGTTGAGGTTGTTCAGAATCCATCCATGGCCGTATTGTTTGGTGACATCGGAAACTACTGAAAGCAAGAAAGTGCTGAGGTAATTTCCAATCCCTACAGTAGCCCAGCCGTAAGAACTCCCGAGGCTCTTCATATTCTCCGGCGCTTGGTCGTAGAAGAACTCGACCTTGGCAACTAAGAAAAACGCATCAGAAATCCCCATCAGAATGAACTGCGGAAGCAAAATGAATATGGAGAGAGGTACTTGACCTCCATTGTCGTCAGCAACCCCGTTCTCTCTGGCGACTTTAAGTCTGTATCTCTCAACCGAAGAAGCGGTGGTGATGAGTAAAATAACGACAACATTTCCGATTCCCATTCTCTGCAGAAGAGTGATTCCTCTAGGATTCCCAGTCCATTTTCTCATCATCTTAACAAAGAGCCTGTCGTAGAGCAGTATGGTGATGAGTGTGGATAAGGGTACTAATGCTGTTAAACCCGCCGGTGGTATTTTGAAAGTGCCAATGTCTCTTTGTAGAGTGGTTCCTTGGCTGACAAAGAGAGTAGAGACTAGTGGCATCATAATGCTCGGTATGAAAGTGGAAACAAAGATTGGTAACAATCGTACCATTTGCTTCGTTTCCTCCACTTGGGTAACCGAGCATACCATCCATGGACTAGTCGAGTTTGTTTTTATTGCAGCTTTGTTGAGGAAACTACAGCCATGCATATATACATAACAACAATATCAGAGTCTAATTACAAACACAGTAATACTAATACTAAGCGCCCGTTCATTTCACCGATTCAAATTTTATTACAGTAAAAAGCTTTCAGAAACAATAACATTTAATTTTTTTGCTAGAGTGAAAAACTCTCACATAAAGTCACATCTCAACTCGAATTAAAAACTCAAATTAGTAAAATAAACGAGCCGTAAGTGGATTAAACTAAAAGATTGAAGTTATATTATATGAGTCATTTTCCAAAAATATTTTCGATAAACAGTTTATTTTAAAAGATTTATGGTAAATAGCATCTTCATGATAATTGATTTATTTACCTTAAATTTACCATAAATATGCTCCGTAAATGAATCATTTATCGAATACCATAAATATTCTGAGATATGTTGTTTAGGATATTAAAGCAGAATATCTGAATATTTAAACCACGTAAGTTATGGGCCATAACAATCCTATTTAAGAACTACCATTTTTTTTTACTAGTTTTAACAAAAGAAATCTTTTTACTATAGCACCTCGATAGCATATAATTTATCAGTTAGTACTATTTTGAGTCGTATTGTAATTATATAGCAAATATCAAGCTCTTAAAATACCTTTGACCTCTTTAGTTATACTCTAAAAATAAGTAAATACTAACCTCATGGTTGGTGTGGATTCAATCTTAAAATTCCCTTTCTTTCCATATACTTCCATGTCCAGCTCATAGAGCTGTTTAGGATCATGAGGGAGACATTCCCTCCATTTCCTTGTGGCAGCAACAATGACTTGAGCCATCCTTGTAATGGGACTCCCCGTTGGCAACTTGTGCCTATAGAATGGCGTGCCGGCCACAAAGACTGCTATAGAAATAGCAATTCCAATAGTCGGAAGCGCATACCCGAGTGTCCAGCCAACGTTATCTTGTATCCAAACAAGAACTGTGTTGGCAAAGAATATTCCAAAGAACACGGCAAACATCCACCAGTTGAAGAATGACAGCTTTTGCGCCTTTTCCTTTGGATCGAAATCGTCGAATTGGTCTGCGCCAATCGTCGAGATGTTCGGTTTAGTTCCGCCTGATCCTACGGCTAGAGTATACAGCGCACCATAAAAGACTGCTAATTGTAATGTAGAGGCCTCTTTGCAGTTTTCCACATTAGCATCTTGGCAAGGTGGGGGTCTCAACGCGCGAAATGAGACTGCTAGTGTCAATAAAACCAGTCCCTGTGAACATATACTTGGTTGATTAGCAAGCAAGTCAATTATCCACAAAGAAATTTAAAATTGGAATTTGATCCGTTAATATGTTGTTTGTCTCTAACGTAAACTTTTTGCTTTGAGCATATAATAGATCAATCCACATATTTATGATAGTTTTGGACATATTTATGAAATTGCCACCGAAGATGTGTCAGGCTTGAGCTTGGGATGACAACGACAGAAGAAAAATTTTATGCGAAAGGAATGCTATTTCGTCACAATAGTTGTAAAATGATCTTCAATTCAAATTTGAATTTTCAATTTCTTTTGAAAACATCAGTTTATTTTCATATTCGTTGAATGAAATATAATTTTTTGTATCCCTAGGTCTTATGATGGCTACATCATCTTCTAAATCGCTTGAGTCAAGTGTTTTCTGTCTTTTTCCATGCTATTTGATAAACCTTATTTTAGAGTTGTTTTATAGACAATACATGGTTTAACAAAACATGCTCTTTGGATAGAGGTGGTTGGAACTTGGAAATTATAATTGTAGATTGTAGCTGGTTTGTTGTTTAATAACTAACACTTTCATTCTCTCTCAAAAAAGACAAAAAAAAAATAATAATAATAATGATAATAAGAATAAGGAATGCTTGGTGCAGAGAAGAATCTAAAAGTAAAATTTCTTCTTCAACCTTTTCCCAAACTTAGGCCTCTTTCACTTCGCCAATTCGAGTTTTTAATTCGAGTTGAGATGTGATTTCATGTGAGAATTTTTAACTATAACAAAAAAGTTAAATGTGATTGTTTTTTAAAATTTTTAACTGTAGCAAAACTGGAATTGAAAACTCGAACCGTTGAAGTAATTTATTAGATCATGTCCTCTAAAGAAAATATGCACCAACATTATCAAAATGCATACCATGAGATAAATTAGAGCCGAAATGATGAATGTCCAGTAACGACCAAGATGAGCGTCGGCGATATAGGCACCAAGAATAGGTGTTAACCAAACGGCGCCGGACCAGTTGGTGACATTGTTAGCGGACGTGACTGTGCCTTGATGGAGCTCCATTGTTAAATAGATTATCAAATTCGAAACCACTCCGAAATATGCCAAGCCTTCAAATACCTCGTATACTGCATGCATGCACGAGTTCAAACCAAATGATCATCTACTGGAATATCTATCTGATGAAGGAAAATTAAGAACCTGTTCTTTTCGCGGGTTCAATTTGAGAACTTGAGTTGAAAAGTGAATTAATGTGAGAAAAAAGATTATAGCAAAAGTGATGAATTTAAATTTGTATGAAACAGTAAAAAATTAGAATTGTGATTCAAATTGTGAAAGAAACGGATTCTAATAATGCAATCTTTTACATATGCATTTGTACGAGAGAGAGAGAGAGAGTGTGTGTGATTACCAACAACAAAGGAGAAAGCAGTCCATCCACCACTCTTTGATCGAAGAACAGGATTACCCTTGAAATCAACGGTCCCATCTTGTGTATAATCATCAAGCCCTTCTTCTGCAGCCATGTATATGGTCTCTTGCAGCCTAATTCTATAAATTTTTGGCGATCGTTTTTTCTTCTGAGTTTTAGAACTTAATTACAGTACTTGGAAATTCATTCATTTATAAAGCTCTCTCCATTTATTAGAGCTTAACTCCAGTACTTGGAAATTCTTTCTTTTATTTATTTATTTATTTATTTTATTTTAATAAGGTTGGTAGTTCACCATGAACTGAGCTTATAGAGGGGTACCAATTTAGTTATGATGTCTCTGTTTTCTCTTGTTGGTGGTTATCACTAGATTCATTAAAAAAAAATGATATTTAGAACAATTTTGTTTTTTTTTTTCATGCTAATTTAATTTTTGTGAATTTCCTCTTATAATGTGACAAAAAATATATATATATATATATATATATATATATATATATATATATGTTTGTATGACTATAAGTCGTGCATCTCACATAGTATATCATCCGGGGAAATATTTTTCTTGATATGCTCTCCAATAGATTTGAGATCTCGTTGAGAGAAAGAGTCAGTTTAATAAATAGTTTATAGTTAAGATAATATACAATCGGCAACACAAGCAACATTTGAGATTTCTAACATTTAAAACTAGATTTAAGCATCTCAACTATTTTTTATTTTTTGATGATTTCATTATAGTCTGAGATAATTTCTTAGACCTTTTTTTTTATTGATGCCAAAGAGGTACTCTTTATTCAGGGATACATGAATGAGGATAAGGAGTAAAATAAAGTGTGTCTATATATATATATGAATCATTTTATGTATTCCATCAAAATAGTAGAAAAGGCATTTTTAGCTCAATTTTAGTATTATTACAAGAGTTTTTAGTTCTTTTATGTGTCGTTAGATTAAGTAAATAATTTATTTCTTTGTTTTCTAGGTCTCAAATTTCGGATTTTTCTTAATTTGAGAATCTAAGTAATAGAATTGTAATAGTTTCTAGATTGTAAGTTTAGATTCTAGTCCAATATATTTGTTTTGAACCTAAAAATCCAATTCCAATCATGTTTAACAATCCAGTTGTTTGGTTTAAAAATCAAAGGGGGCTATTTGAATCATCCACTGCAACTTAATCAGCAAAATTGGAATTGAGATCCCTTTTAAATTCAACAATTTGAATGGTCGTGAATACTGAAATTTTGCATTCTCTCTATTCAATCAATTTAGAACTTTCAAATGTCATAACTATTTGTTTCAATTTCAAATTGATTAATACGATTTTTTTTTATGTATTCATAATAAAAAATGAACAAATCATTACGTAATAATATTAAAAGATATTATTTATAATGAAGTTTTATAAAATTTTATCACAAAACTTTACTAACAGTTTATTCTATATAAATACAATTTTAATTGTATTTGTTTAAATTTTTAGTTCGGATCACTTGTCACTACGGTTTAATCAATCATTACAATCTGAATTGTTGAACCAAACATGACTTAGCCTCTATTTGGGTCGTTAGTTCAAATTTTGTTGATTTAAACTTTTTTATTTGAATAGAAAAATTCAAACTGTGTGATTTAAATTATAATTTATATTAACATTTAGATGTACAATTAAAATTTTAAAAATAAAATTTAAATTTGTATTTTAACAGTATCAAAAGCAAAATAAAAACTTTTTTATTATTTAAAAATAATTTAAACAGTTAAACTTTAAAAAGAGTTAAACTCTAAAAATTGAGTAGTTTTAACTTTATTTAAAGGAAAAATATAATTTAAACTACACTTGCAAAGTGTCCTCACCATTTAAATTGAAATGAACTGAATTAAATGGTAAAACAAACCGGTCCTAAATTATCAAATTAAGAAAAAATTCCAAATTTGAAACCCAGATTTAGCTTTTCTGAAAGACGCACCTAACCTGTTGGAATTTTCAGCCGCCGCCGTTGCCAGACTGAATCTTCGGCGGAGAAGCGGGCGCGCCTGGAGAGAGACGCGGCTGGAGACGACACGACGACCATTGAGCTCGAAATCGTGTTAGACATTGAGAATAGCGATCGAGATCTCCGATGGAACTGTGGACTGCGAGCCCCGACGGAGCTCTGCTGGCTTGCGACGGCGACCTCAGAGCTTCGATAGCGATGGCGACGGCGGGAGACGTGTGTCGGTGTCTGGCGAGAGGAAGGTGCGGGGCATTTTCGGTATTTCTCTATTTTTTAGTAGAAAATTCTTTTTTTTTTTTTTTTTTTCATTTCTGAAATATCTGCCATTATTTGTTATTCCCGTTATAAGCTCCTATATTCCCCATTCTCTCATTTATCTCCCCAGAAACCAAGAGATCTTCACACAAAACAGTCTGAGCAAACAACAGTGTTTCAGCCTCACGGATTCGAATATCTGCGAAAGCCAAGTTCTTGCTTTCCCTTTCCGTTTTTCGGTTTAAATTCCAGTCCAGGTTTGTTTTACTCTTCAGTTATGCTCTTCTTGCGCTATCTTCCTTTATTTTTGTTGCATTTCCATTTGTTTAGTTGCTGAGAAAATGCGAAACAGGTTTTTTTTTTTTTTTTTTTCCTTTATGTTTTATGGACAATTTCTTTCCAAGGCAGTTTTGTTTGTTTGTCTTTTTGATTGTTTTTCTTCTTCTGATAATGCTATGACTGAGTTAAAATTGTGTGTTAAAAAAGAATAAATAAATAAATAAACGCAGGTTTTAAGATTGAAAAAAAAAGGGCTTGGTTATTGAAGGCTCACTGGTTATACTTATTTATTCAACTATCCTCACATGCTCTTTTGATTTTTTTTTTTTTAAAGCTGTTTTCATATGCTATGATTGAATTAAGTTCAGCTATTTGAAAAAGAAAAAAAAAAACCATTTTCAACCTTGAAAGAAAGTATTGCAGTTTATTAGTTCAATTTCTTGAACAAAAACTTAATACATGAATGTAAAGAAAATTCTGTAGTAATTCAATGGTGAAGAGTAAGTAGTTTATCTTTTTTTTTTTTTTTTAATATATAAGATGTTTATCTATTGGAGCCCATAATTACTTACCATACTGATGAAACTGAATTTGCCTTTTTATGCGTACGGGTCCAGGTCAATGTTGTATGCTGTCTCCTTTCCAAATTCTTGCACATTCCATCCAAGAACTCCTCACGGCCTTCATTTTCTTCAGAAGCATTCAGTTCCAACAAGTTTTCGCATTCATGCTTCGTTGTCAAATCAGAACAATGGTGCTAAAGTGGAATACACTCCCTGGTTGATTGCGGGATTGGGAAATCCCGGGAATAAGTACCATGGAACTAGGCATAATGTAATAAATTATATCTGGGAAATTTTTGTTGCGTTGGTTAAGTATTTGTTGCCTTTTGGTTGGTCAAATGTTTATGTGTGGATTTTTGCATATCAGGTCGGTTTTGAAATGATTGACACCATTTGTGAAGCACAAGGCATTGTCATGAATACAATACAAGCAAAGGCCTTGATTGGAATAGGTGGGTCTTAAGCACGCCCCCACCCCCCACAATCTCACGATTTTCATATTATGTTGAGTTTGATGTCTATCTAGACTTATTTATTTTATATTTTACCAGTACAGGTTCCATTGGGGAGGTACCAATTTTGCTGGTGAAGCCTCAAGCATACATGAATTTTAGTGGGGAATCGGTTTGTTCAGATCACATACTTATTCTTTTTTGTGTGGCTTTATGGTCTTAACAGTGTTGTGATGCATATGATTAATGTGAATCAGTTCTTATTATGGGAAGTTTTTATGTTCTAAATAAAGGGATAACTAGATTGTGTTACGCACACCACATGTTGTATGAACCGTTATCCAATTTGTCCTCACACAGTGGAAGTCACACTTAACGAAACTTCAAAACAACAATTGTGATGCCTGAACGACTGTTTAATTCCTGGAGCCATGCAGATGGTCCCAAATTTGTGGTGTTCAAAATTAGCATGTTTAGCACTTTAGCTTTTAATTATTAGGGTATGACAAGCACAGGATAAACTTGGTTGATTATATTATCTTTGCTGGTGAAGAAATTGGCACTTGTAAGTTATATCTGATTCAGAAGCATTTATATGAGAGTAGATGACAATATTTCGTATAATTTTCTGTCATCCGTAAAATCATTCAAAAGCGTCTCATATGATTGGGTTTGTTATGAAGACTGTAAACGACAGCACCTGCACAGTCATTTCATGTTTGCTCTTTCTTAATTTTTTGGGGTCTTACGCTTTTCATACTTGTACCAACAGAAATCTCAATGGTGGATTGTAGGTATTTTAGTCAATTCTAGGATTAGCTTCACCGTATACTATGTTTCCCTTTGTGGTATTTATTAGAGCATGATATAATATGCGTCCCAGAAATGTAAAAATCCCAAAGTTTTTTCCAATCTCTTTTGCATTTTTATATTACTTGTTTTGTTTCCCATTTTTCTTAACCAGTGTGTTTAGGTTCATGTTATCATTGCACTCTAATTGAATCCCTTCCTTTCTTATGTTGACGGTTGAGTAAGTTGAATAACTTGTTTAATAAATTCCTAGGTACTGTATGATAGTAATTCTGTAACTGACTTTTCAGTTCCTTTGTTGTTGTTAAGGTCGGACCACTTGCTGCACACTATCAAGTACCCCTACGCCATATATTATTGGTAAGCGCTTTTGTTTGATTAGCATAGATTAAGCAATTAAATAGATGCCTTCATGGTGTAATTCATCAAATTTGATGATATAACATATTTCTACCTTGCTCATGTAGGTGTATGATGAGATGAGCTTACCAAATGGTGTTATGAGAATTCAGCCAAAAGGAGGCCATGGCCATCACAATGGGTATGTTTGAATACCATTGGTAAAAGTCCTTACTATTATCGGCTGTTCTCCTCCCTGATCCCTAAGTAATGTTGTGTTTATTTCAATCAGCAAGAATATGCAAATTTCAATAATTACATGATGATGGTAATTTGATCCTTTGCTTCATAGATGGATGCTTAATGGATGGAATGCATTTTATTTGATTGTCGGTTGTATTTGTAAAATGTCAATCTAGGAACTTTATAGATTCTGCAAATGCAAATGATACATTTTTTATTCAGTTTTCAAAACTCATAAAGTACTAATTATCTTCTATGATCAATTATGTTTTCTTCGTATCCCATTCTTAACAATCCAATGAAAGACATGACGTCGAACTAAGTTCTCTTTTGGATGTATATAATAATTCCCGAAGGCAATTGGATATCAAGGGCTCTTTGTGAGATTTCCTCATTACTTTTTCAAACCAACAAGCATCTAGGGGTGCAAACAAAGGCATTCAACTAGTGTTAATTTCCCCTCATTGCCATTTTTGCACCCTTCTTTTTTCTATATGATATTCACTATATACACATGATCCCTTGTCTAGAATGGCTTATAATTGATTATCTCTTTGTTGCAGAGTAAAGAGTGTAATGGGCCATCTGGATGGTTGCCGTGATTTTCCTCGGTTGTGTATAGGTTTGTTTCTTATGATTTTTACTGCCATATGCTTTTTCTAAAGTGAATAGATCCAAGCCGTACTAGATTCCGCTGTAATTTAAAAAGAAAAAATATTTTTTTTGCAGGTGTTGGGAATCCACCAGGCAATATGGACATGAGGGCTTATCTCCTTCAGAAGTTCAGCAGTGAAGAAAGACAGCAGGTATATGATTGTTTCAACAATGCCACGGACACAGTAAAGTTCACTCACTTCTCCAAAGAAAAATATGAAGTTGTGATTGACAAGAGGATAAATTGGGTCCATTTAGCTGCCTGTTACTATTCTGCCTGTGGTCCGCGTTTCCTGAAGTTCTTCATAATCTACTTGATTATAATGTCTAAGGCCCCGATCATTTCACCGATTTAAATTTTGCTACAGTAAAAAACTCTCAGAAACAGTTACATCTAATTTTTTTGCTACAGTTTAAAGCTCTTACGTAAAGTCACATCTCAATTTAAACTAAAAACTCGAATCAGCGAACTAAATGGGTCTTAAAACTCTTTATGTTTTGCTCTTTGCATTTTTTGTTTTCCATAACATGTGTAAGCGAAGTCCATTCACAGGATTGACCTAGAAATAAAATGTTTTAAGGTTTTTTTTTTTCTTTTACACTCCGGATTTATCCAAAATTTCACCTTAATTTATGGGTCCCTTGAAATAAATTTCTGACTCTGTCTCTGTTGGTTTATAATGCTTGTTCAAACATCAACGCTGCGGTGTCTTGGAACGATTTCCTATTCATTATTTAACTGAGATTTTATTTTATGTATTTTTTATTTGCTATTGCTATTTGGACAGATTGATGAAGCACTCAAACAGGGGGTTGAGGCTGTGAGGACCCTGGTGCTCCATGGATTTAACCACTCTATCTCTCGATTTAATTTGGGGCAGAAATACAAGCATCACCAAGTGGAAATTTGAATAAGAAAAGGGTGTTAAGTCATTTAGGAATCCAATAAATATAATGGATTATGTAGCTTCTTAGAAGGGGGAGAATTTTCCCGAATAGGAACATGATACATGATGTATAATACCATAATATAGCAGCCTTGAACCTTGCTTTTACCTTATTGACACCTTTTTTGAATTTGCTGCTATTAGATCTTCATCCTTCTCTACATATTTGCTGATATTACATCTTCACTTCCAAATATTGTCTACCATTATTATTATGTCCCTATTCTGAGCGGCAATGTTTGTAGAAGACCATTCCCTTTGATAGATGCTTCTGCTTTTACTTTGGTGCTGTAGATTTAAGCACCCTTATTCATCATACGGGTTAAAATCCCGCTACTTAAATCTTACTAGATAAGTCGGTAGAATTCAATCTACGTAAAGTGAATCTTACTAGATGAATATGTGGGATTTAATCTAGTGAGACTTATTATTTATGAATGGAGTTTTTTCTCGATAAATATTATTTTTCTATAGATTTTCTTTTACAATTGCCTAGATGCTTTTCAGAAAGGATATCAGACGCCAGGAGCTGCCTTTGAATTGAAAGTAGCCATTTGTTATGCACTTTTCGCTAGGGCGCAAACAAGAGCTCGACATATTTACTATCTGCTTTTCCGCTTACTTTTGACGCATCTTCTCCTTTTTAACTCATTTTTGCATTAATAATCTCTCATATTGTGTAATCAGATCCAAGAAGCATCTCTATCGTGAAAAGATGAGCATTCTATCACCATTCGGAATGCCATTCAGAATCTCAGATAAAATATTTATATAAAAAAAAATTCAAAATTTGTGGCAGGGTATTTTCACCCGTAATCCGCACTTATAATGTTAGATTGCATTAAAATCATTTCCAAATTAAAAAAATATATGAAAGAATTAGAACTACGTAATACAATTTGAAGTTTATTTGTTATGCATGACATGAAACAAATTTATTTCATTTTTTCAGAAAGGAAATTTGTTTTTTATTTTATGGTAGAAAGAAAAATTGTTGCCTTCTAAATTTCTGTAAAATCAAATCACTTGTTCAGTTTTAGTTTCAGTATCCAAAATGATGTCTAACAAATGACATCATACAAGATTTAAAAATTTTAATTTATTTTTTCACACTTCTTACTAAATGATGTGACAAAATGTAATTAGTTAGACATTATTTATGACAAACATTGAAGGGTGATTTGAACCCCAAATTATGTTAGAAATAAATATGGTAAGAACTCCTTAATTATAGCTACTCGTAGACACTATTTAGCCAAACTTCATGGTTAATGTTGCGAAAAGTTCAAAAAACCAGTGCAAACTGAACTCTGTTTATTATTATTTTTATTATGAAATTCTCTAGTACGCCGGTGTACTGATAAGTCAGATTTTTTTAACTGTTAGAGATGTTACTTTTTAATTTTTATGTGATTTTATGCAGATCCAGCACTTAAAAAACATGACCTACCAGTGTATTAGTGTACCATAAAATGTTCCTTATAATAATAATAATAATAATAGTTTTACTTGTATTATTATTGTTTTATTTGTCCATATTGATTTTCAATAAAAATTTAGGTCATTGATGGAAACTTCAAAGGTCAAATTCTTTAGTTAATGGTGAAAAGAGAATGCGTTTTAAACTCAATTTATATGTTTATTGATATGATTAAGAGAAAAATCACATTACTATGATTTTTTAAGGCAATATTTTCGTGAACTTAGACTAAAGAAAAATATCAATCTTTTTTTTTCTTTTAAGTTTTGAGAACTCTTATGGTAGGAACTTCTGTTTTACTTAAAGGTAGGAACTTTGTTTTAATGGTGAGATTAGTTTTTCAACAATTCAATATGTGAGTGTTCACATTAAAAATTTATAATTTGTAATACAAAATTACTTGTACTATAGCTTAGACTCTTGAAAAGCTAATCTAAAACAACTATTCCTACTAGTATGTAAAATATCGTAAAAGTTCCTTTTTAAAGTTTTCTAGTTTTTATGAGGAACAAATTTTTCCCTAAAATAATTTCTTTACCTTTTTTTTCAAAAGTAATAATTTCTCACGTAACTTTTTCTACAGCAAAAAATAATATTAATACTAAAATAAATACAATTCTAATAATAATTAATAACAATAATAATAATAATAATAAAATAATAATAAACAGCCTAATAACACAAGTTTTTTCTTTTTTAGAAAAAAAAAAATATTTTTTCACACTTCTTACTAAATGATGTGACAAAATGTAATTAGTTAGACATTATTTATGACAAACATTGAAGGGTGATTTGAACCCCAAATTATGTTAGAAATAAATATGGTAAGAACTCCTTAATTATAGCTACTCGTAGACACTATTTAGCCAAACTTCATGGTTAATGTTGCGAAAAGTTCAAAAAACCAGTGCAAACTGAACTCTGTTTATTATTATTTTTATTATGAAATTCTCTAGTACGCCGGTGTACTGATAAGTCAGATTTTTTTAACTGTTAGAGATGTTACTTTTTAATTTTTATGTGATTTTATGCAGATCCAGCACTTAAAAAACATGACCTACCAGTGTATTAGTGTACCATAAAATGTTCCTTATAATAATAATAATAATAATAGTTTTACTTGTATTATTATTGTTTTATTTGTCCATATTGATTTTCAATAAAAATTTAGGTCATTGATGGAAACTTCAAAGGTCAAATTCTTTAGTTAATGGTGAAAAGAGAATGCGTTTTAAACTCAATTTATATGTTTATTGATATGATTAAGAGAAAAATCACATTACTATGATTTTTTAAGGCAATATTTTCGTGAACTTAGACTAAAGAAAAATATCAATCTTTTTTTTTCTTTTAAGTTTTGAGAACTCTTATGGTAGGAACTTCTGTTTTACTTAAAGGTAGGAACTTTGTTTTAATGGTGAGATTAGTTTTTCAACAATTCAATATGTGAGTGTTCACATTAAAAATTTATAATTTGTAATACAAAATTACTTGTACTATAGCTTAGACTCTTGAAAAGCTAATCTAAAACAACTATTCCTACTAGTATGTAAAATATCGTAAAAGTTCCTTTTTAAAGTTTTCTAGTTTTTATGAGGAACAAATTTTTCCCTAAAATAATTTCTTTACCTTTTTTTTCAAAAGTAATAATTTCTCACGTAACTTTTTCTACAGCAAAAAATAATATTAATACTAAAATAAATACAATTCTAATAATAATTAATAACAATAATAATAATAATAATAAAATAATAATAAACAGCCTAATAACACAAGTTTTTTCTTTTTTAGAAAAAAAAAAAAAAAAGAAAGAAAATCCCCCAGTGCCAATTGGAAACTAGGAAGCCTGCAAATCGGCCGGCCTGGCTGTGGTAGCAACTTCGATACGTTGTCAAAATTACGAAAAAATGTGCTTTTTACAATAACATTTCGGTCAAAAATAACATAAAAACCCCACAAAGTCAGATGGGAATCACCAAATCCTACGGTGCATTATGGAATCCAAAGCGATCCAAAACCCTTTCCAAATTCTCAACGGGACCCACCGTAATATTAGAACGTTGGGAGCAAATAAAACCAGTTAAAACAAAAACAAAAACAAAAAACAAAACAAAACAAAAAAAAAAAAGCAAAAGCAAAAGCGATCTCTCTCTCTCTCTCTCTCTATTTTTAAGACCGTTGCAACGTGAGAAAATATTTATTATTCAAAAAAGTACGATCTAACTCATGAAGAAAACTACAGAAACCATTAATAATCAATCCGAAGCCCTCTGAAAAACTCCAAAAACGAGAGCCGAACCTCAAATTCATCAAAACAATGGCAGAAACCAACGGCTCGTTAGTTTTACAACAAAAAATCCACCATCCGAATCCGGCTCTTCAATCTCTTCTCCATTCTCTCGACCCAATTTCTCTTCTCCTTTCGCAGAACTCAAAAGAACAACCCGTACAATTCAGACTCACAACAGAGAGCTTTATCATGCAGAGAGGTCCACGCTACAGAGCCTACGCTGAGCTCAGAGAATCAAAGCTCCGAATGAAGAACTCCGGACCCCACGAACAAGAAGAAGAAGAATTGAAGCTGACTTTGACGCCGCCATTGAAGAAACAGGTCAAGTTTCAGAGCAACTTGGAGATCAAACGGAAACCGTCTTCTACTTCCTTGTATTCGTCGTCTGTTGTGGCTCAGTCGGTGCCTGACTTCTCTTCTGTTCTGAGGAAAGAGAATCGGAAGCCGCCGACGACGATGACGACTCCGCCGGCGAAGAGCTTGTCGAAATCGAAGTCTCTGTCGAATTCGAGAGGGAGTAAGTCTGCGAATGCGGGGGAAAATAAGAGGAGTTTGGTGATGGCCAGGAAGAGCTACGCAAGTCTTGAGGAGTTGAAGGGCTTTTCTTTGGCGGCGGCCAATGCCATTAATGGTGGTGACAACAAGAGAGGAGGAGGGAGAAGAGTCTTGGGTTATAGAGCGATTTGAGTGTTTTTTTTTTTTTTTTTTTATTTGTTTTCTGGTTGAATATTTTCCTTTTTTTTTCTACGATTTTTTTTTTGTTATGTTCTGAGAGTATGGGATGGATGTAACTGCAATTTGAGTTTGAGTGTTATAATATAGTAATGAAGGAAATGATTCATTTTATTGTTGTGTTTCCAGATTTGGGTTTTGATCTGCAGTTAACACCAAAGAATAAGCAATGCATTTAATTCGATCGCACATCAGAACATGGCAATAAATAAAATTGCATAAATCTTGGGTTTTGATCTATAACACCAAAGAAGCATTTAGTTCGATCACACATCAGAGCAAGGCAATAAATTGCATAAAATTTGAGAATATATATACTAGTATGACTGCTGGAGATCAAAGTCCTAGTTTCCGTTTAAAAGCACCCCTATTCATTCCCATCAGCTCTAGGTCTCGTGAATACCATTTTTGTTCTGTTTAAGGCATAAGAATAGAAACTAGATATTAGTCGTTATTCTTATGTTCATTTATGTTCATTACTTAAATCATATTATTATATTATTTTCTCTTATATAAATTTAAATTTAACTTATATAAATTTAAATTTAACTTTTTTACTACAGTTCTACAAATGAATACAGTTTCTTAATTATTTCTAGTTTTCCAATTATTTTAGTTCCTGTTTATGTTCAAATCGTCGATCTCAATCTATGGTCATTGTTTCAGTCTGACTAATAATATCGTAAGATTTTCACTACACTGTTCGCTTCTCTCTCATTCTCTCTAATGCCTCTTTTCTTTCTCAATTGTTCTACATAGGCCTTTGATGCTCACTAAAAGTTTAGAAATATAATCTCTTAATTTTAGGATAAAATTATTTTAGTACCTTTTGTTATATCAAAACATCTCAAAGATAAATCGAAACATCTCCATTTTCAGATATAGACGATCAGTGTCCACATAAAAAATATAATATAATTATACTATCTGGGTTTTGCATGCATTCAGAACTAGTACAGTTTTGACATTACTGAACTAGTTATTTACGTTCATAACAAATTACATTCCAACAAGCATCTATGGACAGTTCATCCAAACAATCAAATAGCCTCTGCACTAATACCATTTCACTAATTTGTACAAAAATTTATCATATCCATTGGATTACAAAGATGTCGCAGGTTATAACCACTAAACAGACTAAACAGGAAATCGGAAGCAGGAGGGGAGTTCTGAATTTCAAAAGGAACCTTGCCAGCATTCCCTGAGGTCAATCAAAGTTTCATCTACTAAATCTCCAAGAATGTCACCACAAACTTCATCACCGGACTCAAAAGCTTCGATATCAAAATTAGTCCATTTCCCCAGGCCATGACTCATTTCCCGTTCTACTATCTCGTCTGTAATCATCCCAGCTAAACTTGTCCATTTCTTCATCTCCTTTTCCACTTCTCCAATTATGCTCTCCCTGTTCATGAAAGCGAGGAGTCTTGTGCGTGCTCTGGATCCTAAGTAATGGTATTTTACATACTTGGAGTCTAAACATTCTATCAGACAATCAAAAAGAAACCCCCTAATTTGATTTCCCCCTTTGTCAGCATCCATACCAGAAAAGGCGTTGATATTTGTCCAAGCAACATTAGCAACAGTTTCCAGTTCGAGAAGTATCGGACCAATGAAAAGGCCTTCCAATCCATCTAATCTATGTAGCATCACATTTCCAAACAAGATTTCAGCATTCACAATGACATCCTTTGCATGAGACAGCATGCTTCTTGTCAATCTTCCCCCAGCAACGCCAACAGTATCTAATATTCGAGAAACGTTGCCAATAAGAGCCATCAGCCTCTCGCAACCAGCCACCTCTTCTTCCATTGAGGTAGCAGAATCCAAAAGATCAGCATCGGGTCCCAAGTAACGCAACCGATCACTGGCGTAATGCAGCTGATCGCTCGAGTAATCCACAGAATCGGTGCAAAACCTATGTCCTGGAATAGCAAGCAAAACGGACCAGCCAAGAACTCTTAGACAAGCTTAAGATCTCAATATCAGATTCACACCTTTAAAACTGATGTGTTAACTCAAACAAGGTAACGATCAACAACTTCTAGTAAAAGTGGTTACAAGTATTCTACCTGAGCTACCGTCCAGACTACTAGAAGAGAATGAAGCTTCAAGAACAGATCCAGGGCTCAAGTGGTCAGCGACATGACAAAATCTAGCATACTTTTCATGCTTTCCTTCAGCCTGAAAAGAGCGAAAGAAAAATCTTCAATTTCGAAACGGTTTTATAATAGCAATTTTTTCTATTAAATAATCAGCGCAAATTTGAACAAAGCACATAACCAGAGATTGAAAATCCTCAGCTATCTAACAAAGGAGGAGCAAGCTGACGTAAAAGATAAACATGTACACAGCAAGCAAGTTAGGTGGCGACCACAGTTAACAATAATAGAGTCTTAACGTTCACAAATTAGTGGTAAAGAATTTACAAACTATGAAAGAGAACAGATATCGATGAACATAAATAGTCGCGTATGGTACTCCAAGAAAACTATAAGACAACTGCCATAAGCTTCTCAAGTTACTTTACTATAGGTTGTAAGATCTCATTATGTTGCTCGTTGAGGTTTTAAGAGTGTTCCTCATTGACACTCGAAGAGATTAACTATGTACTACAACAACAATTTCAGCACAAAATATTTTTGAAAAAGAAACTAGGAATGATACAAAAGGAGTTGATACCACTTTAGCTATTAGAAATTAAAAGAGCGTATTGTTTCAAATAAATAAATAAAAGAACGCTTACAGTGGATGGTGAGGCTATATCTGGCCGCTCGGCCGTCAAAGCAGATATTAACTCCTGCAGAATCATAGCAGTAGATCTCTTCGGTGGACCGCCTATGGCAAATTCATCATCTTCTTGACTAGTCAGTTCCTTCAACTTTTGCTCAACAATGGCAGCTATAGAATCCCCTTTCAAAGAGAATGGTTTTTGAAAAGACTTCTTTATCTCATCATCCATGGTCTTCTCCTTTTCCATTGAGGTTCCAGGTTTTTGCCTTATAGGTGAATTAAAAGTGAAAGAAATAACATCATTGCTATTACTTTTAGCGACTCCATTACCTTCTGCTGCACTAGCTGATCCACTTTTAACAAAAGTACAGTTAATCGAGTGAGCATTAAGTCCAAACCCTTTTCCCTTGAGAGAATCATACTGAATGTTCCCTGGTTTTGTAGCAGTTGAACTAACAAAACCGCTAGTTACGAATTGGTCATTAACATTTGTTGTCCTCCTTTTCCGTACTGAGCTTCTTAATGGTGGTAAGCTCTCATCCCTTCCATTAAAAGCTTTCTTCTCTGGAACAAACTTGTTAGAGCTTTCCACTTTAGAGGGAACCTTTGGTCTGGTGCGGCCACTTAGGTTTCTGTTCAAGGAAACAAAATCTTTGGAACCTCTAACAGCATTTGCAGCCGATGAGACTCTTCTGCTTTCCAAATTGTTTAGTTTAGAGTTGGACCTGGCTGGAGTTCTATCCCTGGCTAAAGGCATCTGCTCTTGAATTTGAGTTCTCTGCTTTAATTCAACAGAAGTCGTCGAATTGCTCCGAAAAGTACATGGTTGGCTCGATGACGGCCATGGAGCCAGACCTTCACGAGGCAAAGACTTTCTCTCCGTAACAGCTTTACTATTTGATTGTACATTGTCCATTTCTTCCTTCTTTTGAGCACCAAGAGACATAGGCTGGTCCCAATTTCTCTGAAAAACCGGTTCCGTTCCTTGGCCAAAGGATGACACGGGTATTCTTGGGTTACTCCTTCCCGTTCCCTCAGAAGAGGGACCGTTAACAAAATTTGAAGCAAAAGAAGGAAACCCAGATGGCCCTTCATCCACATTTGGTCTGCAGTCCACAACATCAAGCAAATTACCGCAATTTTTGCAAGAAGTTTGTCCCATCAAAGACTTGGCCGCATTAGCACTATAACCAGACTGTTTACTCTGCTCCTCTGGTTTAATCACCGCTCTCCCTGCTACACCCTCATTGCTGTGATGATGATAATGAACAGAAGCTGAGTATGTGAGCGCATTTTTCGATTTGCTTGTAGATTGCAGCCCCGGTTCCAAAATCTTAGTGGCTGCATCAATCAACCGCGAGGTCCGAGAAACATTCTTCCCAGATGGAATCCTCGGGCTCTTGACCGGAGAAACAAACTTAGGATGGTGGTGATGATACTTTCTTGACCTCGACAAAACGCTCTTTATTTGAAATGCTGATTCAGCTCCAAACCTAGTCACTGCTTTTCTATCAAACTGACCAGTTTTTTGAAGCTTCTGAGGTCGAGAGTCAAGCTTCGGACTTCCTCTCTCCAAACTCGTATCTTCTCTCCCAGACCCACCACAGTTATTATTCACAAATTTCTTCTCTCCTTTATCACAAGCATCAAAGAAAGAAGCCTTTTGGGGCTTCTCGCGTATAGCAGGCATGGATTCAAGACCCATAAGCCGAGCAACCAAACCAGGAGCTCGTGTTTCATAGCTTTTGTGCTCTGAATCAACACTACGATTCCCAAGTTTCTTCATGTTTGGGAAGCCTCCCTTGTTCTCATCAGCAATCTGCGAGAAACGGGAAAAATCAAGAAAAATAAAAAATGTATATTATATATATACAAGAAAACCCATGAAAAGTAAAAACATGCAAAAGCCATACCAAGTGAAGCTTTGATGTGGGCATTTTTTCATCTCCTTTAAACTTCTTAGAAGATTGTTTTGCACGAACTGGTTAATCAAAAGAAAATATAAATCAGAACTTTTCTAGAGAAAAGAGAGAAAATCAAGAATGCGGGTTCATCACTTACCAGGAGGAAGCAATTTCTTGGAGAAGAGCTTCTTCTTAGCAAACCTGCGATTCCAATCAAAGAGCTGAAAGAAAATCCCAACACAACCACCAAGCCTGTTCGTCGTCGTCCGCTTCTCTGTAATCGCCAAAGACGACGACGTTTTCCCCCCACTCTCACTCATTTCTTCCCACAACAACACAAACCCAAAAGCTCAGCGACTTAAGAAAGACAAAAATCTCCACCAAAATCCAACGAAGAAGCCTCACATCTTGAAAACCCAGTTCGGCATTGTCAAAATACAAAGCACATTCATCAACATTTCTGTGTAATAATTCTACAAGACATAGAAGATTTTACACGGAACAGGAAACCTCCGTACAGAGACTGTTGGATTAGAGAGACTCGACACGACATGAAGGAGAAAAACAACAACTCTTCTCTGCAACTGCGAATGTACACATCATATTATTATATCATATCCTCGATAGCCTACAAGCCGAAAGCAACGTCTCAATCCAAAGCCGAAAGCAAAAACGACGACGTAAAGCACTTCGGTACAACCGCAAACCTACAAAAAAAAAAAAAGCAAAAAAGCTGTGACCTGATTTCTGACCGGGCAGATTGGATAGACGGATTATTTCGATTGGTTTCGTTCTTGTTGTGATTATGAATTATGATTAGCGAATCGAATCGGAACCTTGAAAACACGACTTAGATATGTGTTTTTTGTTGCGATCGTTTCAATGTTAGCTCAAAAGCTTCGTTCTCTCTCTAAAATTTGCAGTCCTACGACTGTGTCTGTGTCCGTGAAAGAGCCCAGTCAGTGAGAGAGAGAGTGTGGAAGTGTCAGGGAGTGCGCAGGATAAGAGGTGGAGAGAGAGTGTGAGTTCGTCACGCGCGCTAAAAAGCGTTGGTCAAACACCGCAGATAGAGTCCGAGATAAGTTAAGTAATAGTATTTTGCGCATTATTTATAAAAAATATTATTTTGCACATTCGTGCCCCTCAACTTCTATGATTTTGACAATTTGCGTCTTAAAGACAATTTACTCACAATTTGCAACACTATTGCAATCCGTCCGAATTTATCAATTTTACTCTTTTTTTTTTTTTTTTGTCTTTAAGGTAAGAGTGACAATTCGTGTCATGTATCGTATTCATGTCGTGTTTCGATCATTTTTTTTAAATTTATAGTCAATCTAAATATGACCTGTGATACGAAATTTTTAAAAACCGCAACACGAATACGACACGGTCACTTTACGGGTTGACACGACATGACACGAAAATGAACCCGTGAACCCGAAATTGGCATGAAAATTATATACTTTTATTTAGTTTGTTTACATATTAGAAATAACTTAAAATTCATAACACACTAAAATACAATAACATTCATTGAAATTAAGTAAATAATAGTATAAGATTTTGAATATAACTATCATGATATCACAAGTTCATAATAAAATTAAAAATATGTATTGAAAAGTATATGTATTTTTTAGTTTTTTACGAGTTTCGTGTCATATTCGGATTAGGTAGGTCCAACTTAAAATTGACCAGTGTTTTACGTGACAATTTCATGTCAACCCAATTTTTACTCGAATCACTTTTTTCTCAACCATAACCCGTGAAATTCGTGTCGTTTTCGAATCGTATTATCATGTTGTGACCATATCTTAAGGGGTTAGAGAGTTAAAAAATTAAAAAATTTGTGTTATAGTTTGAATTGAGATGTTAGTATTTTTCATCACCAATTTTAACACAATCACTTTAAAATGTGTTTCACTATAATAGTTTTGTAAGCCGGGCATAAATTATCAACATAAAAAATTTAGAGTCAACATTGCTAAAAGCCTACAAATTCAAAGGAAAAATGTGTAAAATATTCTAATATTTTATTAGGAAAAAAATAATACAAATTGAGTTTAATAACCTGTTTAGTTCATGAATTAAAATTATAAAATTAAAATTATTTTTATTTTATATGTATTTTTTATAAAAAAAAAATATTATAATAAATTATGAATTATAATTTAAATTAGAGAACTAATTTTTTAATAAACGGGTTTTAAGTAATATTTATAATGCGGTTTGAGTTTTGGAATTGTCATAAAGTGAATGAAGACAAAATTGGAAACAGGGACGAGTCCTAGAAATGTGTGGTGGCGTTGGGTCTACGTTTGTCTGGTGGCTTGAGTTGAGCGCTGTGGTATGAGGGCAGGGAGCGTGTGTTTTTCAACTTTTCGAATATCGAAGCTTTGCGTTGCGTTGCGTACGACTTACTCGCACGAGAGTGTTGTAATTTTCTCCAAACGCCTTTTTGAGTTGCCAGCTAAGTACATCAAATATCTCTCTTCTTTTTTCTGTTCCCTAGTTTGGTTAACTAAAGTAAAACTACTTTCTTTTTGTTTTTTCTAGCTTCTAATCCTCAAGTAATTTAAACCAACGTCATTGTCCAATGAAACAAAATAACATTAGACGTATCGCATGTGAAATTGGAGCCACCAGCTTATTTTAAACTTTTTTTTTTTTTTTATCGATTTAAATTTAAAATTTAAGTTTTATTATAGTAAAAAATTTTCATAAATAATCATATCTAACTTTTTATTGCAGTAAAAAACTCTCACATAAAGTCACATATCAACTCGAATTAAAAATTCGAATCAACGAACTAAACGGATCCATAATCCCACTTTAATTGGAGATATTGGCATGATCCACTTAATAAGGTGAGGGTAATCCTCTCCTAACAAGCCGATTTTGTTATGTTGAGTTAGGCCCTATTTTTTTTAATTTCTGTAAAATAATATCAGAGCATGCCTAGTTTTGCAATATTAGGTCCTCCAATATCGACTTATTCGCAGCGGTTTGGCATGGTCCACGATATGCGTGAGGAGGCGTATTAGAATCCCACATTAGCTGGAGATATTGACATGATCCACTTAATAAGGTGAGAACAATCATCTCCTAATAAACTGATTTTATCAAGTTGAGTTAGACCCAATATCTTTTAATTTTTATAAAATGAACATCTCACTTCCTTGTCAAAAAAACAACCCATGAAAGTATTTTTAAGGAATTTTCTCCGGTGCAATTCTTTTTTTTTTAACTACCAGTAATTTTTTTTTTAACTTATGTTTGATTAAAATCATAAGGTGAAAATGATAAAGTAATTTATGTACAATCCTTTTCCTATTGACTTAATAGATCTATTAATTTATCCGTTTTTTTTTACAAGCTTCAGCTACAACAATTGGTATTAGAGTTAGAATGTTCCTTTGTTAGAATTCACCATGTTGTCTTGCTCCCATTCCACCATTCATGTCGCCGCACTTGCTGCCTATGATCTCGAGCCAATTTTTATCGAAATTGCCGAAAAAAGGAAGAGATCAAATCAAGATTTTAACATTGATCTTAGTCCAATATATGACATATGATGAAAGTGGTGATGAAGAAGACAATGAAGAATTTGATCGCGGTCCAGATTTTAATGAGGATGATGGAGAAGAAGATGCCTAACTTGAAGAAAAGAAGATCTCTTTTCAGATTCTAGCATAGTTGTCGTTGAAGAAAATTATCCTTTGATTAAGGATACTTTTGTTGCTTCATCGTGTTCATCGTGTTCTACAAATTATTTGCTATAAAATTGCATCTTTTGGAATTCATATGGAAGATCCTTCTCTAGTTATCATTTGAGGCTACTACAAATTCGAGGACAAATTATCTATTCTTATACGGCGGGTCTGATGCAGCATGTATGGACAACATAAATTAGTAAATCATGTTTTGCATTTAAATTTCAGATTTTAAGTGAATTTTTCCTATTCTATTGTTTCCTTTTTACATATAAGGTCAATTTTGAATTTACATAGGTTTAGTTTCATTTATTTTGATTTCCAATTTTGTATAGGTTTAATTTCGTTTATTTTGATTTACAATTTTAGATAGGAAAGTTTATTTTATTTTAATTTCCAATTGTCTATTTAAGAAGAGATTGATAAGATCTTTATTGACGGTCCAGTTTTATTAATAGAAAGTATATGTTTTTAAAATTCTCTCATTATATTATAGTATTATGTCGAATTAATGATTGATTGATGTTTATTTTTTCAACATTCGTAAATAAATTAATAGGCTCATATAAAAGTCTTATTTTTCGCTATTCCAATTGAATAAACGGATCTTTAAGTATTATAAGTGAATCAAGAAATATATGAACCAATATTATTTTGATAGAATAAAAATCAAATAAAACCTTGAACTTAAACTTAGAAAGGTGTAGACAAGACGGTGCAATGCAGCTGTAAGGTGAGGAAGCCATGCAGCTCATGGCGGAGCCAACATTACACTCTGAATACGTGAAGCAAAAGAAAACATGATTAGAATTTGAGTATTTCAGTACCAAGTGTGAAGACGTAGCAGACGAACATCGTATGATAATTTGATTATACAGGAATTTCCAAACATGAAAAATCTGGTTACCAATCTAATGAGTAAACGCGAAATCACATTTTAGGAGACATTTGGTTTATGGATTAGAATCATGTGATTAGAATTATTTTTTATTTACGTGTATTTTTTATGAGAAAAAATACTATAACGAATTATGAACTATGATTCAAATCATGATTTGAATTTTCCAACCAAACATCCTCTTAGTGATGTTGTTATGATCTTCTTCTTTACAAGCCAAGGCCCAAGAACAAGAGGACGTGAAGCACAAGAAAACATGATTTCAATTGAGCATTTGAGTATCTCTTATGCCATTGTTATAAGTCATAACATGTGCACAAAAAGTTTCCAGTTTGACACTTCCACCATACTTGGTACTCAAATGGAACTCACTTCTAAAATCTTTCTTGGAATAATGGTACTCGTCAAATTCATCAACAAAGCATATATATATATATATATATATGTGTATATGTCTATATATATGTGTAATATATATATATATATATGTGTGTGTCTACATATATATTTATATTTATATATGAACCAACAACTAGAATTACGCCTTTTGCGCGAAGCGTGATATTTATAGAAGAAAATTTAACTAGTTTTTTTTTTTTTTTTTTTTTTTTTTTGAAGTGAAAATTTAACTCGCCGGATCGTCTAATTCATTCCAACACGCTAGAAGAAAGGGACATAATATAGCTCTTTTAGGAAAGATACTTCAAGGTTGCTACATATTCTAGCATTGAGGGAATTCTGCTATTGTTAATTATTAGTCATTGTTAATTAGTGAGAAATGTAGATAGGACATTTTATTTTTAAAAGTCGGTCTCGAGATATTAAAAGAAAAGGCTTCTTTAAATGTGAAGTTATTATTTTAATATTATTAAAAATATAAGACACTAATAAGATATTATAATACTAAAATAATTTTATCCCTTATTTAAATTATGAGTATATCCGGGAAAGAACGTCAAAAGTCAAATAAGATGATAATGTGGCATGATAATCTTTGCATTTAATTTTTAAGAAAATAGTTGAACCGTGCATAAATCTGAATTCTTACTCTTTACGCTTGTTAATACTCTTAGAATTAATATAGTTATTTGATTTTATTCATTTTATAACTCAAATCACAACTCAAATTTTATTATTATAGTATAATCTTTCATAAAAATTTAAATTTAATTTTTTTATTATAATATTTTTCTCATATATACTACTCAAGTTTTTAACTTGAGGAGTGAATAAAAGTCAATCAAAGCTTAAGATTTGTGGATGTCGTGTAAAGAGCCCTATTCTCTTTGTGGACCCGGCCTGGTATACGTCCTCATACAGGCCCTTATTACCCTATGGGCCGGGATGGCCGAGTAAAATTTGAAACACTAGACTTAAATCAACTCAGACACCGTACAACACAATTGTAACCTGTCCATTATAGTATATCACGATTTAAATTATTATTCGTGGTTCGTTATAGTATTTTTTCTCACAAAAAATATACGTAAATTGAGAATAATTCTGAATCATAATTCTGAATCCATGAACCAAACGTTCATGCTTATGTAGGTGACAAAGTAATTTATAAGTAAATCGAGAATGGTTCATGTACGTTTGGTTCATGAATCGAATTACGAATCATAATTCAAAATCATGACATGAATACACCAACTAAACGCTAAAATCTATCTCCAGCTTTGATCCTTGAGAATAACGTCAGACTTTGATATCAACCAACCACCCACTATCTATCACCATCTCTCTCCCTCTCGTTTACCTCAGAACTTCTTTACAAATATATTAATACAGGCATTTATTTATCGACTCAATTGCCTATTTAGGTGACCAAGTCCACACAATATAATACAAGGGAATAAAAATATCTTGAGCAAAATAGCAAACCTCGTTGTAGATTTCATGTATGTAGATACCGGCCTAATTGCAGGCCGAGAAAGAACGACTACAAATGTCAAAAACGCAAGGGAACAAAACAGATGGAGACGGATTATCCTGGCAAACTCAGCGTATTGGTATAATACTTTTAGGATTATGTATAATATGAAAGGGAGAAACTAAAAATAACATAATTAAAGTAACACTATTCTCTCATTATTGTAAATTTATCTCATACCCTTAATAACTTATAAGTTATCTTTTTATAACTTGCAGGTTCAAAACAGATGGAGACAGATTGTCCCGGCAAACTCAGCATATTGGTATAATACTTATGGGATTATGTTTAATATAAAAGAGAGAAACTAAAAATAACATAATTAAAGTAACACTATTCTGCCGTTGTTGTAAATTTATCTCATGCTCCTAATAATCTACAAGTTATCTTTTTCTAACATGTAGGTCATCTTTCGTAAGCTGTAGGTTATTTTTCGTAACATGCAGGTTATCTTTCATAATCTGTAGATTATTTTTCGTAATTTAAAAGTTATTTTTTTTTCTAATCTGTAAGTCATTTTTCATAGTGATATTAAAAATTTGTGTAGTAATATAGTTAAAAAACCAATAATTAAACTTGAAATTTTCTAAATGTGCATGCCAAGTTGGATGGTTTAGGATAAAACGCAGAGATTTCATGCAATTAAGTGGAGTAATTTATTTACCCGTCGTCCTTGGATGGGATCAACTCGCAAACAAGACCAACCCCACTAATGTATATTCATTATCTTTTTGAGCTGTACATTTCTTGGATATTCTTTTTCCTTCAATGGTCCCCTCTTCCTTTGTTAATTTTTGTTGGTCACATGGCCAATCATCCACAGAAAGTTCTACACTCATCAAATTATTATTTCCTTTACTTTTGCAGATTAACATTTCTGGTAACCGGATAAAGAGCTAAATTAATTCATAAACAAGCTTTGCAAGGAATACTTTGTTTGACAAAAAGCTCCATTGCTTTCCAATCATGGCCTGTATGGGAGTGTAGTCAAGGACAACGTATGTGTCATAGTTATCACTCACCAAAAAATTTGCCAATATAATATAAAGGTTAAGCCTGCAACAATATCATATTTTTTAATAGTTAAATAAAAAATTTTAGTTTTAAGAATTTTCATTTATTAGAAAATTTAAGTAGTCTAAATTATTAAATGGGAGGATCACATAATTTTTTACAAGGTAATCTAATCTATACATACTTAAAAGAATTAAAGATTTAACTTCAAAAGAGATCAATTGTTGACGTCTATAAAAATCATATGTTGGCATCCTCTTTCTTTTTTCTTTTTTAAATTGATTTCTCTCCCCTTTTTTTCCTTTTTTTTTTTTCCATTTTTGACTTTTTTTTACTAATACTCTCTCTCTCTCTTTGCCTATTACCTTTTTTTTTTCATTTTTTTTTCTATACATATAATCTAATCTTACAATACATAAAAGAGCCGGAGCTTTTTTCTATGGAGCTGCCACATGGTAGCCATCCACTTATTTTTCTTTTTTTATATATTTTAATTTTTTTATGTGTGTTTTTTTAAAATATATTGTCCATCACTTTACTCGTATGAGTGAGACTTTGTTTTTTTCATGTGTTCCTATTTATTTTTAATTGATTAAAATAATTTACTTTAAATGTGTCCCTGCTTAATTTTTTTTAATTGTTATATGTACACATATTTCTTTTTAAAATAAATATAAAACCTCTAAATAATTATATAAATAAATTTCTCATTATTCAGTAAATAATAAACTTTTTAGGTGTATTCAATGCGACAATACGGGCAGAGTACGCTATAAAACTAGTAATACATAAAAGAGTCAAAGCTTTTTTTATGGGGTTGTCACGTGGCAGTCATTTCACTTACATTTTTTCTCCCTTTTTATCTTTATTTCCCCCTTTTTATACATTTTTTATGTTTTTAAAAAATAATTGTTCCTCACTTTACTCTTATGAGAGTAATTTTTTCACACGTGTTCTTATTTTATTTTTTGTTCTTTAAATGTATCCTACTTAATTTTTTTTATCAATTGTTATATTTACACATATTTTTTTAAGATAAATTTAAAAATCCTTAAATAGTTATATTATTGAATTTCTCATTATTCGTTGAATAATAAACTCTTCAAAGTATCTCTAACACAGCTATACGTGACAAAACTAGTTTTTGTTAAAAATGGTAAGAACTTTAACATAAAGAATGATATTTTAACACTTTTCACTAACAAAATCTTAGATAACTTTGGTTTATGGATTCAGAATTATTCTCAATTTACGTATATTTTTTATAAAAAAAATACTGTAACGAACTATAAATCATGATCCAAATCATGACACATATCCTTACTCTAAACACACCCTTAGTCAAAAAGAGATTCAGCATAATAATATACCCTTCTTCCATTTTTGCTACAAATTAAAAAAAAAAAAAAGTTAAACAGCACTCGTTACATACCCCTTTTTATACAGAAGTACGTATGAGAAAAAGGAAATCACCCAAAATCTATGTACAGAACCATATGCCTTAGCAAGAAAGAAAAAAGCAGAGAAAAAAAAAAGAAAAAAGGAAAAACAGCATGGGACAGCCATGAAAGCAATGTGTTACCTGTCATTTTGTGCTCCAAACCATGTGAGCTTGAATTATACTACCATCCCTTGTCTTGTCCCACCCTCCCTTTCCTTCAACTAATTTCTTTTTCTTTTTCTTTTTTCTAACATACTCTTTTTTTTCTACCTTGAACAAAATCTAAAAATTTCACTAAATTTAAGAAACACGCAAATCAAGGACAATAACCCTCACAGAAAGAAGAAAACAGTAAGACAGAATCCACTCAGATTGAAAGGCAAAAAAGAGAAAAAAAAGAAAAAAAGAAAGTAAGCAAAGCAGTCACTTTTTCTTGTTCTTGTTGTTCTTGCCATTGGAGAAGATCGAGCCTATGGCAAACAAGTTCGCCGGAGGAACATTCAAAACCGGGTTGATTGAAACGCCATTGCCATAACCTCCGTGGCCCTTCTTTAACGGAGGCTTTTGGCATTGATGAGATTGATGAAGCTTTGTTGAAGCGTTATTATATTTGTGGGAAATATTCTGCTTCGAAGCTTTGTTGACATTGCTATTAATGTTAATGGGTTTGGTTTCATCTGCAGACCCAGTAGAATTGCTGCGAGACAAGAGAGGCAAAGGACATAACGTCCTTCCATAGCCAGACCCACAACTACTGCTTCTCTTGAACCTCCAGAACGATTTGGATTCACTCTTCAAGCTCTTGCTGGTGTTTTCGTCACGCGCTCCATGTGTTTGCTGAAATGTCTGATCGGGTTGAGGCGCGTCGTGACGGTCCGAAACGAGTTTGATTGGTTGAACGACAGAAGCAGTAGTAGTAGGAGTTGCTGTTGTTGTAGTAGTAGTAGTTTTTTTCTTGATTTGATCAGTAGGAAGAATTTTCCCGTCCGAGAAAAGCTCGTCGGCCGAGGACGATTCTTGGCCGAAGCTCTCCCGGACGCAGAAATCGAAATCGATGCTTGAATTCAGACCCGGAGAGTTTGATCTCAGAGGGCGTTGCTCTATCGGCACGACATCAGATTGGATGAAGTCATAAGAGAAGGAGATTCTTGGAGTAGAACCAGTACTACTTGTACTTGCTCCAATGGATGAACTCTTCTCCGAACAAAGTTCAACCGCCATTTTTCAAAATTCAAGCTAGAAAATTGACTCGGGCACGGAAGGAAGGATTTATCAAAACTTGCAGAATATTCGGTAACGCACAGAAAAAAGAACTTGGGTCTTTGTCCTTTTTCAAGAAACATGCATAAAAGAGGTGTCAAATTACGAACTTCAAACACAACAAGGCGAAAGATTCTCGGAGTTTTGATGCGTCTTTATCGTCCTAATTGAACAAGAGAAAATATGGGATCAAACTGAGAGAAATCCAAATCTGGGATTTTTTGATAAAGAAAAAAAAAAAGTCTAGAAAACTTAAACAAATGTATGTAAGATGGCTGGTTTGGAGGAAATGATGAAACAGAAATAATATAGTCAGTCTTTCGAAAGGGGGACTTTCGGGATTTAATTTGTTGTCTGAATTCGATTGAGAGATAAGAAGGAGACGTGCAGAGAGTTTTATGCACCTATCGCCGGCCTATATATATGAAGAAAGAAGGTTGTTAAGGGAGTAGGAATCCCCTGCTGCCACCTCCAGAATACCGCCCATGTTTATGATGACGTGGAATAAGTGCCTTAGCAAAATGATTTCTTCAGAGAATCTGGATTTTTTGCTTTGCTTTTTGATCAAGAGATTCTTATTCATGATTTTTCTTTTCTTTGCTTACCGCGTTAGGTGTCATTTAATATTTGTATGTCAGCACCAATAAGTAGTTTTTTTTGCTAGAAAGCACCAATAAGTAGTTAATCATGTCAGAGTTAACTTTTTCATTATTCATATAGGAAAGGAGATGGCGGTTAAGTTTATTAATGGTTTTAGATATTTAATATTGATTAGTTAAGTTCGATCAAGTAATCGGAGCACCATTTATTGCAATAGTTGGACTTGTCAATCTTTTGGATTTCTTATCGGCATGTAGTGATATAGCGACGAAGATGATCTATTAAGGTTGGGTTCATTTTACCGATTCAAGTTTTATTATAGTAAAAAAATTTTAAAAATAATAACATTTAATTTTTTTATTACAGTAAAAAGTTTTAACATAAAATCACATCTCAACTTCAATTAAAAACTCGAATCAGCAAACTAAACGGGCCCTAAAATTCTCACATAACATGTAAAAATCGATTCCTATCATTCACATTAACGGCCTGTCAGTAGATTACCGAAAGATCGTTGAATGGAGCCAGAGGACATTATTGATCATAAAAAAAGAAGCTTTTAAACTTGTGAGTAAGTAGATAAAAATTATGGTTATCACCATGGTGTCAAGTCGTAAAATTTGATGTTTTATAATAAAAAAATGGAAAATTAAATGTAAATATCAATATTAACAGTTATATTTAACATTAAAATGTGCAAAAATTTTATAATCAATATAATTCTTATTTTGTACTTTAATTTATAATGTTATTTCTAATTATTTTCATAAATTAAGTTTTGGAGCATGTAAAATAATCTTTTACATTAGAAGCTTACTTTTCATAGAATTTGTTACAACATTGACATTTTTAAATTGTTTTTTAATTAAAAAGTTTACATCTATAACTTTTAATATTTATGACATAAAAAAATATACCATTTGAAGTGATGTTATGCATTATGGTACAAATAAAAATGAGCTTTTCTGGATGTCTTAGAAATAAGGCCTATAGCTCTATGTTATAGCCTTCATGGCTTTTGATATGACGGTTCTATTCTCCAACTTGGCAAGCTGCTACGGTGATCAACAAAGTAAAAGCTTCCAGAAAACTGTCTACGTTATTCCTAGGACCTTCTTTCTGTCCTGTTGTGAGGATGATCCTTGGCTAATTCTCTAGTCTTACATTAGAACGGCGATTATATCTCGTTTAATTTGTTGATTCGAGTTTTTAATTTAAGTTAAGATATAATTTTATGTGATTATTTTTAAAAAAATTTTACTGTAATAAAATTTAAATTCTAAACTCAAATTAATAAAATAAACGAGGCTTATATTGAGTTTCCACGCTGGCCAAACCCAACTTGATGACATGCTTATAGAGTTTTTTTTTTTTTTTTGATAAAAAAATGCTGCGTAAAATATCTTTCTTGCTCAATGAGCAGTCAATAAAGTCAACAATAATATCATTATTATATTTTTTTTGGAGCCAAATATAATATTAGTATTATCATTTACATTGTAAATGAGCATATACTTCGTGTTAAATTTGACATTAAATATAATATATGTTAAATTTTGATAAAAAAAAGATAATAGTATTACATTGCAGAGGATTTTTTAACTCAAATTTTAAACTTAACATTGAGACACTAATTTAACTGGAAATGCTTTTAACTTGTAAAATAAATTGGGTACTTCATCATATGAACATACTAGATGATAGGACTTAATTTTGTTTTGTGTCCCCGACCAATAAAAGCATGTAAGCTGGAAAGGGAAACTCACCTAAATCTATACTTTAGATCTTCGTTTTTAGGTTAAACTTTATTAGAGTAATCCGCTGGACTAAATTTTATCATCTGCTTGGAATCACAGTATTTGGTTCTCTATGCTTTATGACCCACATGCAATCAAATTACAATTATGTAATTGTCAGTAATGTGGAAGCACCATTACAAGTCAAATAATGCTAGGCAAGTGGTGAAAAGTTCACCTTTTTCCTAGCCAAAAAAAATATCTAATCTTTGTTGATTTAAAAAATATATTATGGTATAATATTTAAAATGTTCTACTAGAATACTCTTTAAAACTATTTGACCATTTTTGTTGAGAAGAAAAAAAATGATATTTTTTGGTAAATTGAGTGGCATACATGTTAAATTTATGTCATTGGTTGACATAAATGTATAGATGACATTTCTATATTTCTCCTAAAAAGGAGAAGAAGAAAAAAAGAAATAAATGTAGGCCCGTTTAGTTCGTTAATTCGAGTTGAGATGTGACTTATGTGAGAGCTTTTTACTGTAGTAAAAAAGTTAAAAATGACTATTTCTAATAACTTTTTACTATAACAAAACTCGAATCGGTGAAATTAACGAGACCGTAAAGATGACATATTTTAGGTGACATTAAGATGACATATTTTAGGTGACATTTCTATATTTCTCCTAAAAAGGAGAGGAAGAAAAAAAGAAAAGAAAAGAAAAAAAAAACCCATCTTTCATTTTACATCATCTTGTAAGAAAACTTGAGTCATTTCAATTCACCTTCAAGGTGATATCCGATTGAAAAAAAAGGAATCAGACAATAACTGAGCCTTTCGTATCATCAACCAATTATTAGATCTTGTCCAACATTTTGTGGTCAGAAAATGTTGTCCAAAGCTTAGAAGTGATTGCTAGTTGAATACCAAAATAAAGTCACAAGTAAGAGCTGCTTTCTTCTTCAAACTAAAATTCTAGATCTATTGGATTAGTAGCCAAAAAGAGGGGAAAAAGCTCAAACAGTATAAATTCGATCTCCATGTCGGCTGTAGAATTTCCTATTTTAGTCTATTTCCACCTGATGTTCATTGATCAAATCCCAACTTAAATCTTATCAAGCAAAATGTAGTCAAAAGGGGGTCAATTGAAAAATTATATAAATTGCACTTTAATTTTTTTAACGCCATCATATCACATTATTGATATTTTGTTTTGCTTTAAACCACATTATTGGTAAGCACTTAACCAATATTTCGATACTGATTGATAATAATGTAATTTAACGCCATATATAGTTTGATAAAGTGATAAACTCTATAATAAAATTATCTCAGGTTATAAAGGGGTCAAAAATAAAAATTATTTACGATTTATTCCCTTTTTCTATTCCTTCCTACCAAAAAAAAAAAAATCATAACTTCTATAATCTTTCAACCAATCCATCCTCCATTATCATTCCTTTAATTTTTCCCTCCTACTGAAACAGGCTGTAAAGGAAAGGAGTGCGTACTTTGTAGAGCTAATAATTCCTGCATCATTCACTCCGAGGTATATAATTGCGTGGACAGTTGAGAACTAATTAGTACTAATATCCCTAATTACATTTACACTATTAAAATTAAATACTATTACCATTTATTGATCACGTATTAATTAAATACTATTCCATGCTTTCATGCTTCAGAGTGGTGGTGCTTCATCGGCGATGTTTTCGGCTCTATACATATTTGTGTCTAGGTTGCGTGAGTCGTCTTGGCCGTGTTTAAAATCAATTCTGTTTTTTGTTTTTTATATTTTTCAAGTAAGAAAAAATAAAAATATTTTTAAAACGACGTTTAGCGCAATAAAGATAAAAACGGAAATAAAAATAATTTTTCAGTTTAGTGTAAAATGAGAAAGAAATAAAAAACGACTTTTAGTCGTTTTCTATTTTTTATTTTCGTTTTCTCCTCTCTCGAGTAGAGAGAGAGAAACATTAATGAGTTTTTTTATACTGAAAATAATCTTTTGATAAAACAACCAAATGCATTTTCAAAAATGATTTATGTCTGAGATTAAAAACATTTTCATTTTCATTTTCATATAAAAAATAAAATCATTTTAAAATGAGTTCCAAAGGCGTCTCTTATGATTAGTTGTTTTGACTATGTTATTAGTGCTTCATCTCCTTTTGGATAGATAGTCGTGCCAATGAACAATGATGTGTTTTTCGCCTTTAAAGTTATGTTTTGATGTGTTGCTTTTGTTTTAAGTTTGTAATAAGGTAGGTAGTTTTTCTATCTTTGTTTTTATTTATTTTTATCCAATTTGCTTGAGTTTGTTCTTGACGATATTGTGAGTGACCTTTAATTTACATGTCCCTTAGTCTCGCTCAATCAGAGTTTTTCATGAATTATAGATGAGTTGTTTAAAGAGTTTTATGTGCGCTCAATTGTCTACGTGCCTTTTTAACTTTTTATTGTTACAGTTTAGTGTATTTTGTATCCCTTTTAACGTTTCATTAGAACTTATTAGTGATACCGATCAGTGATTGAGGTTAAGTGTTCTTATAATGAGCATTCGAGTCAACATTAGTGATTACATCTGTTAATTTGAAGTACATTTACCTTAAAAAAAAAAGAAATGCATATTAATTATACCTGACCATCAAATAAGTTGCAAGTTCATAGTTTCTATATATATACATGATAAAGGATAGGTAAGATAGTGATTTAATAGAACTCTTAAATATATCTTACTTCTAATTAACGCTTCAGAAAATGATGGTTGACATAAAACCTAGCCCTTCATAATTGAACCCTCAGCTGAACTCTTTTTATGGCATTAAGTTTCTGAATTCATGATCTACTATATTTGGGAGAATGAAGTAAATAATAAATAATTAAAGTAAATAATAGATTTTGAAAATATTTAAAGTAAATAACAGTAAATTAAATTTACGTGGTAAAAAATCTTTTTACTATATTTGCATAGTAAAAAATATTTTTACCACCTAAATCCTAGATAAAAAAATCTCTTTACTTCTA